GAGATGAAAAAGCCAACGGACGAAATGACAAAGAAGGCTCGAGATCTGACACCGCCTATTGTGCCTGAGGAGAATCTTCGACTCGTGGTCAACATCCTTGCAGCTCGTGAATGCAGCGCAAAGACATTCCGAGACACGCTATCGACCATCAACAATCTTTCGGGCATTCCAGGGGCGAAGGAAGTCTTCGGCAAAGGATTGATCGAACAAGCTCAAGATCTGGGCCACTCTATTTTGCAGGATCTCGACGAGCTGGTACCACAAATCAAACAAGCCACCTCCGGTACTGACATCCAAGGCATGGCTCTTACCAAATTCTCCCCTGCATCGTCAGATCAAGCCAAGCTCCTTCGTGTACTCACTGCTTTGGACTACTTGTTTGACCATAAGCACATCGGTGGCAAGACAACGTCTGCTGTAGATAGCGAAGGGGAATCGGCCGAGAGCTCCACACCGAAAGAGGATCTACTTACGATGTTGTACGAGAACCCGACTTTCGGCTCGCTCTGGAACAAGCTCAGCGAGTGCCTGAACAGCATTCGTCAAGGCGACGGTTCGCTTAATGTTGCCACCATACTCTTACCACTGATTGAGGCACTCATGGTCGTCTGCAAGAACACGACACTAAAGGACATCCCAGTGATTAAAGCCGCCAAAGAGTTCGCCATCACAAGCCCTCCGCCAGAATCCTTCATGGAGAGCCTCTTTTTCAAATTCACTGAAGACCACCGTAAGATCCTCAATGACCTTGTCAGACACAACCCCAAGCTCATGAGTGGCACGTTCTCACTGCTGGTTAAAAACCCCAAAGTCTTGGAGTTTGACAATAAGCGCAACTACTTCACTCGACGCTTACACTCTCGCGGCACAGAAGCGAGACATCCTCAGCCCCCCTTACAGCTATCTGTCCGTCGTGATCAGGTCTTCCTTGACTCGTTCAAAAACCTATCCTACAAAACTGGTGACGAAATCAAGTACGGCAAGCTCAGCATTCGCTTTCATGGTGAAGAGGGAGTTGACGCTGGTGGAGTGACTCGAGAATGGTTCCAAGTCCTTTCGCGACAGATGTTCAACCCAGACTATGCTCTGTTCATTCCAGTCGCCTCCGATCGTACCACGTTCCACCCCAATAAGCTCAGCAAAGTCAACGAAGAGCATCTCATGTTCTTCAAGTTCATCGGTCGCATCATCGGCAAAGCTCTCTACGAAGGTCGAGCATTAGACTGCCATTTCAGTAGAGCTGTCTACAAGCGAATGCTTGGCAAGACGGTGTCAATCAAGGATATGGAGACTTTGGACTTGGACTACTACAAGTCCCTGCTGTGGATGCTGGAGAATGATATCACGGAAATCATCACAGAAACATTCTCCGTTGAGACTGATGACTTCGGCGTTACCGAGGTCGTGGATCTTACTGAGAAAGGTCGCAACATTCCGGTCACCGAGGAAAACAAGCATGAGTACGTTCAGCTCGTGGTGGAGTACCGTCTTACGGGATCTGTGCAAGCACAATTAGAGATGTTCTTGCAGGGTAAGATTCCTTGGCTGGCGATCCTAATTCCTATACTGACGATAAACAGGCTTCCACGACATTGTCCCGCCGGAGTTGATCGCGATCTTTAATGAGCAAGAACTTGAGCTGCTCATCTCTGGTCTGCCCGATATCGATGTCGACGATTGGAAGAACCATACTGAATACCACAACTACCAAGCTTCGTCGCCACAGATTCAATGGTTCTGGCGCGCAGTCCGTTCATTTGACAAGGAGGAACGAGCCAAGCTTCTACAATTCGTTACAGGCACCAGCAAAGTGCCTCTCAACGGCTTTGGCCAGCTTGAGGGTATGAATGGCTTTAGCAGATTTAACATCCACCGGGACTACGGCAATAAGGACAGATTGCCTAGCTCGCATACTTGCTTCAATCGTAAGCACATTCACCCCACAAGACTAACACCAGTAGCTGACTCCCTCCTCAGAACTTGATCTTCCAGAATACGAGAGCTACGAAGCCCTCAGACAACAAGTCTACACGGCCATGACGGCTGGAAGCGAGTATTTCGGCTTCGCATAATTCACGCCTCTCAAGACTTCATGACGATACCATGCTACATACACTAATAGTCAGTCGGGCATTTGCAAAAGGCGCTGGATCTTGTCGTATGCACTTGAGCGAAGGGATATCAAGCGAAGGGTTCACAGCAAATGGTTCCAAGCGATTTAGAAGCGGATCGTGCAGCATACTCTCTTTCGTTATGGTTAGGGCGAGGTAGTGAAGACTCGATGGCAGACGTGCAGGTCGTCCATCTTGTCTTCGCTATCCTTGGCTGAGATTGATATCGTGGCATTGCTTTGTACATAGCTGGAAATACGGAGAAGCAATGCAATGCCTCAAACACAATGAACCCTTGTAGACATGAATCATTGCACGCCGCCGAAGAGAGATCTGAGCCAGCCCTTCACCAACGCCTGATCAATGCCAGGCGATCAGTTCGGAAAAGTCTCAATTCTCCTTCCATCCATAACCGTCGTATTCGAAACCCAAACCATGTCGAGCACGAACCGAGTCTACCTCTCCCGCCTCCGTCCCCTCATCCACCACCTCCGCCACCAATCCCACCAGCCTCAACCCGACTCATCCGTAACCCCTCACCCCCCCGTCTTCTCACTCCGCGGCACCTTCTCCGCTCGCAAACAGCGCACGGAGCCCGTCGCTCAGCCCACACTTCAGCGATGAGAGTTGCGGTCGCGAGGATGTGGGGTTCGCTCAGGCCTCATCGTATCATTGATGACGGCGCGCGGAGGCCTTTTGGCTCTGGATGTGAGGGGGGGGTTTGGGAGATGGGGTTGCTTGGAAGATGGGGTTGGGGTTGGGGTTGGGGTTGGGGTTGGTGGGGGGGAGAAAGAAGTCTCCTCTTTGACGGATATTCTTCCGTCTGAATGGATGGATGCATGACGAATGGAAGGGATTCCCCGCTCTATGATCCAGATGTGGATCATCCAAATGAGGCAAGAAAGAAAGAAAGAACAGAAATCCTAGACATCCCGACCAACCAACCAGCGCTACTCGTCGCTTCGGAAGCGGGGAAAAAAACAAACACCATCATGACTGATTGTAGATAGAAAATGTACGCCATGCCCGGCTGAATGTGGCCTCCAGCACGACCGTCGCAGTCGTCAACCGCTGGGCCAGGCGCGTACGGACGAGCTCGGCAAGGAACGACATCGCCGTCGCGGTCGCAGGCGTGGGTGCGCGCTCGATGCCTTCCTTGGCTGGCTGTTTGTTCGTTAGACGTGTGAAGACCGTCCCGAACGGTGGCAGGATGTCAATACCACCCCCTCCCCCCCCAACCCCTTCCTCTCATCGCCGACCCCTCCCCAAGCACGCGGTCCTCCACCCACGGCGAGGAAAAAATCCCAAAACACGGCCGGGTGTTTATCTTCCTCGCGTCCGTAGTCTCTCGGGGCCATTGATTGGTCGGGGGAGACGGCGGAGGAGGGAGTTGGCTCGTTGACCTCCTTTGCGCGCTGTACGAGCACCCTTCCGGAGATGAAAAATTTGCCTCGCTGGTTATGAGATCTAGTGGGGAAGATTGGGGTCTGGATGCGTTTTGGTGGTGGTGACGTGGGGGTTGAACCGGCGTGCGGCGACGGGGGTTCTCCGGGCTGTTCGCTGTATTTGGAGATGTTGGTATGGAGTCTGGTTTTGAGTCGGGTGAGCGGCTGAAGAGCGGGTTGTGGTATGCTTGGGAGGGTGTGGTGGTGGGGGTGGGGTTTGGTGGGTTGATCTGTTTTTGTGGAGGTTGGGTAGTTGATGGAGAGGTTTGCGGTGTGCTTTGGTGAGAGTGAGGGACGAGGGACGAGGAGGGGACGGAGGAGAGGATTGGGATACTCGCGTGGACATTTGCGGTTTGATACTGCGTGCGAAGAGATGTGTTCTTACCCTTCAGATCGGCGACGTCTTTGTGCGGTCGAACAATGCTGTATTGAATCAGACTGAGATTCTGAAGATTATCTGATGGGTCAGAGTGAAGAGCTCGCCTTGTCTGTTAGATTGAAACACGAGATCGGTCTAGAGTTGTGGAAAGAATATCTCATCATCAGTGCTATCTTGAGTTGTTGATTCTTGATGGAGACGGATGACGCTTTGTGCGATGCCCGCCATGGCTGCTGAAGGTTGTTGGTAGATGGAATTGATTGAGCCCTTGGAGGGGGACTTTGGGTGCTGCTGGTGATGAAAGGTGCTCTTCTATGCTAACATGGCTGCGTAGGGAAAATTGAAAAATGATGCGGGAGAAGCATCCAGATGATTGGCAGGAATGGAACCCTTTGGAAGAAGAAGAAAAGTCTAGGTATACTTATTTCCAGGCACTTTGCACGAGACCAGATGGCGCCGCTGATAGTCGAGATTATTGACATGTGAGAACTGGCGCTGACTATATACAGTGAATCAATGACACAAACGAACTCCGACCGCTATGTGTACAAAATCAAAATAGCAAAGACAACAGGCTTGCCAACGAGCCCGAAACCCAACACCAGAATGCCGCTAACAGTACAAGCAGAAAAGCAGAGTGAGAGCATGCCAACGTGCCCAAGCCAACTAAAGAAAAGACGGGAAGAACGGTAGAACGCCAGAACGGCAAAAGAATGACGAGAGATCCGGGAGCCAGTCCCAATGTTCGAGCAAAATGGGTATGAAGCCGAAAGAGTGTCGATGGGCATGCCAACGTGCCCGAACCGAAAGGGACCCATGTTGGATCGAAGAAGAAGAGGGAAGACTGAATGAGTGTAATGAGCGCACCACCGTGCCCGGCCAAAGATCGACAGGACTAGCCAAAAAGAATGTCGAAAGCGCAAAGTAGGGCGTGCTGGCCTACCACAACCAAAGTGCAGCCAGTCCGGATCGAAGAAGAAGACCAAAGGAGTGTAGTGAGCATGCCAACGTGCCCAGCAATGTGAAAAGAACCCAACCGGCAATACTGTACGGCAGCGCAGCTGCTCACCCGGCCATCTGGCTATCATCGCCATCACCCTTCTCCTCCCTCGCCACCTTAGCATGCGGATGATGCGGCTCCCGCTTCCCCACCGGCCCGACCGTCAACGTCTCGAGGCCCAAATCACGTTTCCCGCCGACTCCGTTTCCTCCCCAATCGACAATCTCCCAGCCGTTTCCGTGATCCAGGGCCGGATCTGCCACGGCGGCGAAGACGGCATTGCTGGCGTCGATATCGTACATGGCGCAGCCGCGGCAGGAGTCCACGACTTTAACGTTCTGGGTCAGGACCTGCGTGTCGGGGTTCCAGATGTTGATGTAGGTGTTGCACATGGGGTTGTCGTTTGGGTTGCCGGGCCAGCCTTGCTGCATCAGGGAGAGGGAGAGGGCGACGACCATTTCCGAGTCGGCGTGCGTCGTTCCGCAGGAGGTTAGACCGGCGGAAACTTGGTAGTTGGTCATTTTGCCTTGGTAGGCGGAGGCGAGGGGTGCGGAGAGGGCGAGGGCGAGGGCGAGGGTTTGGGCTTTCATGGTCGGTAAGGGTGCTAGGTAGGTGGGCTGGATATGGTTGGTTTAAGTGGTTATATTTGAGTGATGGTGCTTTTCTGGGACTCGATTTGGCGGGTGTAGTAGGCTCTTATATATTCAAGGTATCATGGTAGTCTCGCGTGAGGGGATCAGAGATGGCGGTGTATGGGAACGACAGCCAGGCGGAGGGAAAGGAGGTCATCCTGCTGATATAAAAATCGATGTGATACTGCCAATACTTCCCTACCATATTTAGACACATAGTGCAAAATTCGGACAGCAAGGAAGTGGGGAGCCTAATGGCGAAGTCAGAAGGCAGCAGTCAGAGGGCAGAGAAAGGAAGCCATCAGCCCTTAATATAGACCATTGGAGCATCATGGGAGAGCGAAGCAAGTATTTGGATCTGTTTCAAGCATCAGTGTCCAAATCACCACAGAATGGCAATGGCGAAGCAGTGAAACATGCAAAGCCGCAAATCATTCGTCTGACAGGAGCATGACTCAAGCAGTGCCTGGGATGGGTAAGAGAGTTGCGCGACACTTGGTTTGAGACTTGATGGCTCTGGGAGCAGAGGATGAATGTTTGAAGGCGTCAGTATAAATGGTAGGAATATGAGTCATCAGAAAGGAAGGGGATTTGATTTGCGGATTGCGCCACCTGTTGATCGAAACATAATGTTTGACAGGACAGCCCCAGAATTTCATCTGCCACTCTTTTCTATTAATTAATCTAGTGGCATGATCAGAATATTCCTGACCATTCTTACACCTATCTCAAGGCTAAACGATTAGTACCTTCATCGACCATCTCTAGAGGTATGAATACAGCCATGCAATTAATCGAACAATCACGAACGGTGAAAAATTCTGGTGTGTTCACGATGGATGAAACTGAACAAGAATCCCAGAATAGATCACCGTCGCATCGTCCCGATCCTGAGGCTCAAAAGTCGGTTGATGGTAAAGGAGCTCGCTACTTTAATAGAGTAAGTTTGTTTCATCCTTTTCATTGGCTGACAAGCCGGTCGCACAGCCACAATAATTAATGCCATCTTTGCTCAATTCTCACATCCGCCAAACCCAACAAAAAATGCCTCAAGGCAGGATGAAGAATAATGCCACTCTGAGAATTACGATTTGGAAGGGAGGTGTGCATAACTTTATGTACTCCGGGCTATAGAGTATCCAAGGACAGATAAGAGGAGTAACCGGACGGCGCCCACCAAAATTAGACAAAGACCAATGCAGGCGCACATTCCATCATTTAATTAACCTGGACCTACAACATAAGTATTTTCGTCTGCTTGGATTATCCTCAGCTGCCAATGCAAATACAATCCGCCTCAAAAGAAATTCCTTTTCTTTCTCACCGCCTTTTGGCCACCACGTGCCACGACATCCCTCTTCAACGAGGTCCGTGTTGTGAGCCTACAACCCATCACCTCACATTACTTCCGCGATTGATCGTCCGAGCATCAAGCAGTTACCAATAAAATGTCCATAACTCAGACTGAAGACATTGAGCTCACGGCGAACTCAGCAGCGACAAATCTCACCGCATTCGAATCAGCAGACAACATCCACAATAATCATAGCGTCGTATTCGATCGGATGAAACGAAGGTGATTGCATGTTTCAGCGTCGGTGGAATAAACACAGAATATATTAAAAGCGACACCTACTTCATTTCTCTAACCTCTACTCTGGCAGCGTCCATTCACTACGAGGGGGATCGCGGCCGCCAAAACTCAGAGACCAAGAGTCCAAAATCTCTTCCTCCAGGTCTTCTGGCCACCACTCCCCGCTGAACCCGCCCTTCTGCTCGTAGAGAAGTCTGGCGGCTTCAACGTTCCTTTCCGCGGAGGCCCGCAACTCAAAATGGTTAAGAGGGTTTCTTTGTATGATCCTCCAGAGACGAAAGTTCATGGCCGGGTGATTTCTTTTCCACCAATTCGATGGCTTGAGCCAATCAGTCGGCTCCTTCCAACGCTGGATAAGTTCAAAGCTACGTGTCATAGATTCGATTGAGAGACGTACCTTTTCGTTCTCACTCGCAGACTTTTCGTGACGAGACAGGTCTGTGAGCCGGGGAAAGGAGGGTTCGGCGTTGGTATTCGTGCGAGGGCGATTTACCATCTCCTTGGCTTTGGCGACCAAGGAAGGCCCTCGTTTTCGAGATGGTGCATCATTTGCTGCTATCAACGAAGCATTTGATAGTCGTCGGCCAACGGGAGCATCCTTGGAAGACCCTCTTTTCCGCGATCCCTGGCCAAACACCGCTGAGGGCTTGGTCTCTGATGGGCGTCGGCCAGCCGCAGCACGCAATTTTTCTACCAAGGACGGCCTTCTCTGGCGTGATTCTTCCCGATTTGTAGCCGTAGGCTTTGACACTGACGGTCGTCGTCCACTAGGAGCACGATTTCGTCTCGGAAGACCTCTCGCGAAGTCACTCAGGGGCGGACCCTCGGATGGATCTGGCTCACGTTCGGTCTCAGGCTCCGGGGTCCAACCGTGTAGCACGCTGTTCGCTTGTGAGGAAGAACCCACTCTGGAACGGGTGGCGCGCAGTTGATGAATCGCGGACCTGGAAGACATCTTGGTGTGAGCTTCGAAGTCTGGTTGAATGTTTGATCTGTAAATTTTGGGAAGCGGTTGTTGAGTGAGCTAGAATAAGTTGAGGAAGAGTTGCTAGAGCTGAGGAAGCGGTTGTTGAGTGAGCTAGAATAAGTTGAGGAAGAGTTTCTAGAGCTGGGGGAAAGGAAGGGTGAAGACGTACATTTAAAGGTGCAGGGACATTCCTCGTTCCCGGACAAAGACACGAACCCACTGTTCATCTCACGAACAAAGATACATGTAAGAAACAACACTGGTATTGTTATTGACTTTAACAATGCAATTGTAGTGAAACACATCTGAATTATCACACACCCTCCCCAAACTCCAGAAATCAAAGAAAAGGGTCTCAAATACCTGTATCACCCTTCCACTGCCAAATCAGCGCGTTCAAAAACTCCTCCTCCAAACCCGACGGCCACCAAAGCGTCTCTTCCGCATCTCCTCCACTGTTCAAAAACGCAATCGTAGCCCTATCCTTCTCCTTACAAGCCCCCAACCTAGACGGTCCCCACAGCTCATGCTGCTCCCTGTGCTTGATCCTCTGCAGATGGTAATTCATCTGCGGATGCAGCGCCTTCCACCGTTCGCTCGGGACGCCGAAAACGGGGTCGTCGCCGCGCATCCAGCGCTCGACGGAGTCGTGCAGGTCGAACGCCGCTTCCGCTTCTCGGCGCAGGGCCTCGACCCGGTCGCGTTCCCTCGCTTCGCCCTTGCGCATGCTGTCGAAGCGGACGAAGGAGGCGGCGCCGACGAGGTGGCGGAGGACGGGTCTGCGGCAGGGTTTGAGGAAGCCGGCGAGGGCGATGGTGGATTGGGTGCGGTGGACGGGCGAGGCGTTGCGGTCGGTTAGTATGTCGACCATGGTTTCGGGTTGGTGGTGGTGGTGAGTGGGTAGGTGTTGTGGATTGGAAAGTGTGAGCTGCCGGAGTGTACTGGAAAAGACGCGGAAGGCGAGGGACGGGGGGCGTGGTAAGTTACTTATGGGGAGGGAAAATGGAGCGGGCGAACACAATCGGCTGGAGTCTTTGTTGCGGAGGACAAGGTATTGTCTAGACAAGGCCGACCGGTGTTTTGACCAGCAAAGATCCTTTAGGGGACTAAGAGTCCCATGAACAACGACGCATCACAAACAATGCTTTGTCTATTTCTACCAGTAAAGCCTTTGTAAAGTTTCTAGGGTCAACTATACTGACATTTTTGATTTTCAAGGGAGGTCACTTCCTTCTACAGCAATGCTTTGTCAATTTTCCTTGTCTGAAAAAGCTTTGCAAAGTCTCTGGGTTTAACTACGCTTATGTAATTCTTTTGACTAGGAGGAGGTATGGTCTGGGCGAATTGAGAATCTCTCCTTCACCCACACTGCATCCTATCATCTCCACGAGCAAAGTCATCGTAAATGATCTGAATGGAGTGGTTTCACTTAAAGATCTCACAAGACGCGTATAGAAAAGACCCTTCTGGACCGAAGTCGTAATAAAAACAACAAAGACAAATTGCCCCCCCCCAAAAAAAAAAAAAAAAAAAAAAACACCACCCGAGCATTCAAAACCCCCCCCCAGAAAGCCGCCCCAACCCCCTCGCCCCCCCCACCCCTAAAACCCCAGCGCCTCCACCCCCCTCTCCACCCGCATCGCCTTCACCACATCCACCCCCTCCCCCCCACCAAACCCCTCACCATCCGCCAATGCTCCCCATCCACCCCCCGCCGCCACTCCCCCTCCGCCACCACCGCCACCCGTCACAACCCCCCCCACACCACCCCCGCCACCAACACCCCCCCCCCCCCCCGCTCCCGCCCGGGCACCGGATCCACAAACTCCGTGACGTCATCCAAGACCGTGTTGGCGGGCGCCTCGTCCGTCGCCGAGAAGGTGAAGACCTGCTGCGGGTTGGCGTGGATCGGGGAGCCGTCGCCCCGGGTGGGGCGTTCCGCCCCGAGGTAGTCCTGCAGCTGGGATTCGCGGGCGTTGAGCCGGGCTTGCGGGGGCAGGTGGGCGGTGCGGATGAAGGGGGTGGCGGTGCGGGCGTGGAGGTGGTGGGTTCGGAGGGGGGATTTTGGGGCGGAGGGGTGTTGCAGGGCCCATTTTTGGTGGGGATGCGGACGCATCGTTGTGGGGGGGTTGGGTTGCCTTGAAGGGTGGGAGGCGGGGGTCGAGAGGGGGTGGGGAGATGCTTTGGGTTGGGGCCGGGCGTGGATGCTTGGGTCGAGAAAGGGGGGAGGTGGTGGAGGGACTCAGGGAGGATGGTGGGAGACGGCCTGGGAGTATAAAAGGGAGACGTGAGTAGGGTGAGTGTGGAGAGGACAAAGGCGGTTTGCGGTACAGACAAAGCCTTTCATCTCGTTGAAGAATTTTCCATGCTCCATCTTTGTATGAACAAATGGGCTTACCACTACAAAGGCCATTGTCAAGATTGACGGAATTCTCGTTTGGGAGGATGATGTTCTCAACGTGGATTATTCTCACGTGCTGCATGAAACTTGGACGCTTTGCATTGAGGCTAGAGCTCTTGATTGAAAAAGCAATTACTGTGCATGTCTACTCATTAGAGGAAATCAAATGTAGCGCTCACCGGATTACGCTTGAGTATTCAAGATCTGCCATCATCCCGAACCGTTCAGAGGTACTCCTCCAAGCGCTTCCGAAAGCGCGCAGTCCTAGATTGCCTCATCGTCTCCTTGGCCTTCTCCTGCTCATCTGCCTCTTCGACAGGGATAGCGTCCAGAATCAGAGGGTTTTCCAAACGCTCTAGTTGACGCTGGCTCCTCGACAGTGTCCTTGCTCGAACGACTAGTTCCGGAATTTGAAGGCTAGCTTGCTTTCGTTCCTCTTCTGCCGGTACAAATAGCTGTGGGTTCCTGCTAATGAACCCTACCAGCTTGTCTTCAGCTGAATCAGTCTCTGCTGGTAGAGACGCTCCCTTTTCCTTGGATGGCTTCACCCTCTTGGTCAGCTTGCGTACCAGTTTCTTTATGTTGGAAGTTGGGGTCTCTTCAGGTTTGGCTTCTGGAAGCTGTTGATTACTCACGCTAGGTGACTGCACGGAGGGTTGGGCGAATTCAGTCGCGGCGTCTGCAAACGGTTGCTTCGCCATGGATCCTAGTTGCAAGATTGCTGGCATATTAGTTGTTCCAGATAATTATATTCAAGAGAGCGTGCCTGTTGATGCTCTTGTTAGAGCCTTGTGCTTTTCTGTGTGTATTAATGCTCTTGTCAGATTGCTGTGCCTTCTCGCGCGTGCTGAAAGCGAGAAGTGATGGAAGATGAAGGACTTATGGTTGAAGAGAAGCTTGGAGTATTTAAGGTATAATATGATAGGTGTTGAGGGCGAATTGACACAAAGAAGTCATTGTGTGCAACAAATGTGAGGGTGCAGTGGACAATACTAGTGTTACAGTAAGCGAGGGCTTACGATGTAAAGTCTTGGATTAATGTCTCACAGAGTGTGTGTGGTCTAGTACGACGCAAGACCTTGAAAGGACTTGTGTCAAATCTATAGGGAACTAATCGGCGGGAACTAGTCGGCAATGTAAGTGATCCGAAATTGAAACCAGACTCCCAACGCCTTAGGCTCTGGGACAACTGTGCAGGAAGTAATCATTTTGCGTAGGGCCTTGGTCCCAGAGCCTATATCAGGCTATTGCGGCTCTCATTTGCCAGTCTGCCGTAGACATTTTCTGGGAGATCTAGCAGGCTCCAATCCAGGTCCGAGTCATCGTCATCAAGTTTTTCATAATCTGCGTAATCCACGATGTCGTCCAAGGCAGCCGTAGCCGAGTGGTCAGACGTCGCTTCAAACACGAAGACTTGCTGCGGATTCCTACGTAGCGGCGTGCCCGTCTCTGTCGGCGAGTGCATCGTCTCAAAGGATCTCTGAAGGTGAAGCTCAGGGCTGTTGAGATTTGCTTGAGAGCGCGGCACCATAGAATCATGCGTGTATATACGTGCAGGTTGTGGACGGATGTTTTGCCTTATCGCCTGGAGGTCGACAATTTGAGGGGCCGCTGTTGGACGTATGAAGGTCGCAGACCTCGCCACTTCTATTTCGGTGGAACCGAGTTCCTCGAAATTTCTATCCTCTTTGCTCTTGGGAAGCTTCATCTTTTGGAAGATCTTGCTGGCTACGCCTCGGAGCTTTTGAGTCATTGACATAGTCGTTTGGCTTGCTGTGGCTTGCTGTGACGAGCTTGTGGAGAGCGACATGGTATTTGCGCTACTACGAGAAATGTTGTGCGAGCTTCTCGACGTTTGGAGAGTATGGATTCGAGAGTCGCTCTTGCGCCGTTGGTGTAAGTAAGAGACGAGAAGATGCTGGAGAGGGAAAGAAGCTCGACGAAGGCCGAGAATATAGGGGCCCGTCGTCTCGGAGTGTCGCGTGAACAAAGAGATTAGGTTCTATAAACAAGGTCATTGTGTTTTTAGCCAGATTCATTGTTCCGAGACATCAAGAATGTGTAGTACTTGTTCGAAAATCGGCTTTTGCAAGTTACGATTCCTCACAAACGCTCAAGCTCGCATCGGTCTCCTTAGAGAACCCCGCTGCCGGTTTCAGTGTCCCAAGAAGGAGTACCCCAGCACCCACATCAGCTTTTCGTCTTAGCGTCATTCAGAATGAGGATGATGACCAGATTCCACTTCCAAAAGGTTCCATGGGAAGGTGAAACCCCTTTTTAAACTTTCCAGACAGAGTTCGATTTTTGAAACGTCATCGGAGACGACGGTTGTTGGATGCTCTTAATTGGCTTTGAGGGATGAGAACTCGCTAGTCATTCTTGTGCAATAGTGTTACGGTTTCTTCTGCAGGTAGTATAGCTTGAGAGGAGCCCTGGAGATGTCGCTCGGGGCAATCCAAACCCAACCAACTCTGTTTTTCGTATATGTATGTCTGTGAGCAGATGTTGGAGTCCCGTCAACAGAGAGGGAGTAGGTGGTATGTCAGCATGGAGGAAACCAGTCAACGTTGAACACCACTAAGTCGGCACAAAGAAATAGACTTCAGACTGTAAGCAAACTTGCAGGGACCCGGCAGTCTTGCTGCTAGCGACCGAAAGGATCTAAAGCTCTGACCTGGACACAAAGAAAGGGTATTCCAAACAGACTGTATCGCAATACGCGCAACGGGCCTGTGAGGAGTCAGTGAGGTGAGCATAAAAGTGAAAATGATGCGAGAGATGTTTTGGGCGTGCAGCGCGACAAAGAGACATTTGTGGAATCAGGTGCTTGGAATTAGCCTTGCTATGTAAATGAAGAGAGATCTGCTCCAAAGCCACGCACAAGATGGAGTCCAGCAGTTCAGCAGGTCCACTGTACGAGTTATCAGCGTTTGGGATGCACCTTGGGCCCTGCACGTACATTGGAGAGTCTCCTGGTAGCATTGTTTCGATGTAGCACTCCTTCACCAAAGGTGCTATTCCTCCGTGGCTTCTCCGCCATACCCGGGAGACCTCGAAGACCGTTCTGCTGATACTCTCCTACGACTTTTGCACCTTGGCAGTTGATAGCCACGGAGTCTTTGACTTCAACGTGGATGATTGGGGTTGAATACAAGGCCCCTGAGGGACCACCCACGCGAGCTCGCTCAGAAAATGTTGGCAGCCGTTTTGGGTTGGTAGATTCGCTGTTGCCTTCTCTCCCTGAAACTTGTAGTTGGCGGGCAGGAGAAGCGTCAGTCTGTTGACCTGTTGCCTCAAAACTTGTAGCGAAGCCAGGGATGAACGACTGAGAATGATCCTTGTTTTCCACAACGCGTGCGAAACTTGTAGGAAAGCCAGGTAGCAACGACTGAGGATGGTTGTCGTTCTCCACATCACATGCGAAAACCTTTGGATTTTGGCTGGTAACTCTGATGCTTCCGTTACGCAAGAGGATCCCCGCGGGGGGTATGGATTCTAAGAAACTCGCTACGTCTGCGTTGCGCTTGTTGTAGTGTTGCTGGTATGTTTCTATATCACCACCGTCAGAGACACTGTTGGATGGAGATGGTGTATCCTGATGGGAGCATCGCAGCGGTGGCACACCCCACTGATCCAGAGGATCGAGATTGTCTTGGTCGACGGCATCAAGCCATTTCCAGACATTCTCAGCGTGCATTATGGCTTGCAGTGAATCGATACAATAGGTATTCGGTGATGCAGTTGAAATGTGGGCAGTTGCGAGAGGTGTGGGATGGAGAAATAGACCTGCGAAGCAAATGAATAGATCCTACCGTGGCAAATTCGTATGAAGACAAGCGGGTTTGACGTATTGATTAGTAATATAACGTTGGAATTGTGTGGCGAACAAAGACTTTGATATCGAGACAAAGATACTGTCTTAGACAGCTGAAACAATCGTGTTGTGTGGACTGGCCTAGTCATCAAACGTAACAAAGAACTTTACAATCGGAGGTCATCCGTACTTTTCTCCCTGGGGTTTTCGCCAGCCGTGTCACTGCCTTTCGAAGCGCTATTCCCATACCGCTGCCGTATTGAATGCCGCTCCTATATCCCACCCAGGCTCAGTCCAAGAATATGGGATGTGGCTGACCTCTCCGAATAGTGGTCTCCTGGGTACTAAATTCATCCAATAAAATGGATTAGGAGCCATGTTAAGGACTTCTTGATTCCGTTGCTGTTCCTGATACCTGATACGCAGAAGTAAGCCGTTGGCTGTCTTACGCAAGAAACAAGAGAGAAATTAACTTCCAAACCACCGCAGTCATGTACTCCATCCACTTTGTATACGCGGTCTGCGCTTTTGCCCGTGCGGCTCCAACATCAGCAAGAAGAGGGAGTATGACCTGGCCGGTCATTGCGCTAGGGTTTGCATTCCAAATATACTCATACAAGCCGGCGCAGTTGACGGGCTCTGGAGATTTCCGCTCATGCTTTATGATCTCAGAGACAAGATCAACGTCTGCACTCATTTCGCGTAGAAAGCATATGAGCTGGCACTCTTCAAGGGTGAAGTAGATGCCGTTAAGATGTATAAAGGTATTTGAGTGTCTAGGGATATAACCCGCGTTAGTCCACTAAGGTCAAGCTTGGGAGTGGGATGCGGAATGGCAGAGGCGTACGGGTAGAAAGAGCGAGCATGTCCGATTTCATAGTTGATAGCAACGGGATCGTTTTGATTAACAGCGTTTGTAGCAAGTCTAGGGATAGAATACAGTTTAGTTCATCCAGGTCGAATTTCGGAGTGGGATGCGGAATGGCAGGGCCGCACCCGTAGGAAGAAGGATTATCTCCGGCAATGGTGGCCAGTTTTGGTTTTTTGGAGAGTGTTTTCCTAGACTTAGTGACCTTGAAGGAACTTTGGGGGGCCATCACAACGTCACGTCGTGTATATTTTGTTATTTTAATATTTGTACTGATGAGCGTTGACTGTTAACGAAGGGTATGTTGGAGAAGATGGCATGCTGTTCTTATTATCGCATGACTCAATACTTAACACAACATTTCTTTGACATAGACATGGCGAAGGGTCTGAGCGCAGACTGGATGGCTCCGACGCCAAGAAATTCGCTCATCCTCGGCTTGTTCGCTCATTCATTTGACGAATCATGGAGAAGGCCTGCATAATTTCGGGCTAGTCCTCCTGGCCACGCGATATCAAAATGATCCTTGGCTTAGGTGACGGAACAAACAGGCAGGAGCTATTCCTCTCATGTCGATCAGCGCTTATTCTCCAATGATGATGAGCTTCGACTCACGTGCTTGAAGACTTAGGGTGAAAAGCGGGGCAACAGTCGTGACCCATATTGCCACTCCGGCTCGACATTTGCTGTGACTATACTTGGTCGCTCATTTGTCTGATGCAAAAGCATATGGAGTTAAAAACCTCAGTCTTCATTTGATTGAGATTGTGCACAAGCAGATCCCGGTCCTTATTTTTGTAGCAACAGCGGAAAGCCATGACCAGTCATTGGCCGTAACAAGTCAAAAACGCTTTCCTAGCCGAGCTGCTGACTGGGTACGTAAGCGACTCAAGATTAGCGCAATGTTAACGCCGCCCAGCCGGGTCCTCCAGAACACAGCGATAATGGCTGTTCGGTATTGGTGTAGTATGTAGCTAGAGCGAGCCCCACGGGTGACTTGTTGCCATGGCTGGTTTGGTCTGCTAAAACAATGAGGATGGAGACGAGCCCTTGGGCTGTGGCATATCCTTCTATATGCTTGCAGGTCTCTTTCGAGCTCTTTGAGCATTGCCAGTTGTTTTGTTTTGACATACCATCAGTGAAATAGCACTTGATGATGCGCAGATGTGATGTGTCGGATTCAACGTGTTCTGCACGTTGACCGGGCTTCGTGGCTCCAAAGCAAGCGAGTTTGCTACCATGTATAAGTCAGATCTCGGGACTGCATAAATGAGAGCCAATAGGGGTATGTTTGTACGGCAAGCCAGCTCACGGCGCATAGGACAATTGCATTCTGTTAACGTGTGCAGAGCGAAGCAACGCACGTCGTACAAAACTAACGATTCCGGTTTAGGCGCCAAGGCTGTAATCCCTGCTAGTTCATTCTTCGAGGGAACGATAGAGGGAACACAGCACAAATACTGCTCTTTTAAGAGAGGCATTCTCTAGGGCTTTTATCCTTCTCCTTCTCCTTCCCCATTGCTGCGCCGGTATAACTTCACATGAGATCGGCCATGCATCCAGCTAGTCTTGCGATCATCTCCTTGACCTGTGAGGATGTTCTGCACCGTTCGGCCAACCACCCTTACATAGCCTTCTTACCTGTCTTTGTGGACAAGCACAGCGACCACCGCTTCGTCTAAGGGCTCCGGATATCTTGCATTTTGAAAGCTTCCAGGCCCATACACCCACTTAAGATTGATCATAACGTTGCAGATCTAGTCCTACTATCATGAAAGGATACACTTCCCTGCGAAGTCAGCGAATAATATTGCTCATAGCGATCGCAAGCTGGAAGAAATAATCGGAAACCTGGTACACGTCTCCTGAACCGCACCAGAAATCTAGCTCCCGATCACACAAATCGGCCAGGAAAACATGCTTGAATTCGATGAGAGCCTAAGGGTAGGTGTCGAACCGATTGAGACTGACGATATCTGCGCTGTTCTCGTGGAGAGAAGGAGCGGGGCTGGAGACCTGATGATTCATGGCAATAAAAGACTCGTAGCTATCATACCGGGACCGACCCAAACCGACGAGTACATCATCGTGGCCATGAGGGTCAACGAAGACTGCAAGACAAACGGCAGTCCGTCGTGAGATTATTCCGCAGATCAGCAATGTTTTCCGGCCTCCGCGGCAAAGATCAAAATCTCTGGGACAACTCGATGGACAGAGAATGGCAATTGATGCTACTGATATTGCGCACAGTGACCAGAAGCTCGTGGAGACTGTTGAAAACATGGATTGTGGATACCTCAGTCCTCCTCATCAAGGATCTTTCGACATACTCGCTCGTAGTCATGGGAACGCGTTGAAGAAGAGTGCAGTTGGAGAACAGTGACCGTGACTCACGCTATCGACGCCTCGGTGGTCGTGGCTATCCTAGTCAACAAGCACAGCTCCGCAGGTGGCCTGATTGTTGGTAGCCCGCAAGGAGTAATCACTCTGGTAGAGGATGATCCTAACCTACCCTGGGAGTATGTTGTCGCACTTTTGGAAAAAGGGGAAACTTGCGGCTTGGGCGAAAGTACGGTGCGTTTTTTTTCGCGCCGAGGTGCTCCTGTTACAAGTCCGAGTATTCAAACGGAGTTTATGGAGACAGGAGATTGATCAAAGTCACTCGCTTTTGCCCTCGGCACGCACTCTGCCAGAAAGTGTTGCAGGTTTAAAGGATCGGTCTCCCAACATTGTAGGATTTGCTACAAGTAGAAGGATTCGCCTTGTCACACCTCTTCGACACCCTGCTTCTACTGAATCTACGCATTAACCGCCAGCTATCTTTGAGCTGTACAAATTGTTGTGCAGGATCGAGGAGACCGGGCGCTCAAGGTTGCCGTTTTTACCGGGAGTATGCCAGGCTTTACGCCGTTACCGTGAGCATATTGACAATCTCCAAGCCCGTCCAGACCTTTACTGTTATCGCTTGACGTGAAAAGGTTGCTAGAAGAGTCTCCGACCAACCTCAGTCCTCCCAGATGCGATTCTCGTCGTGGCAGATGCAAGAAAACTGCCCGCCTAGTTCCCTATGCTGCACATCAAAATTGCCTTTCCGCATGAACCGCAAGAAAAGCGCCTGCCCAGTCCGCTTACTGCACATGAACCTGGCTTTTCGCATCGAAGGCAGCAATTTTACCTCCACTATGCAAGCATTGACACCCATTTCAATATAGGAACGACACTTCAGCGGTAAAGGCGAACAGACCCTCAACGCTCGTTACGAGTTCCAAAGTGTCAGATCCACACAAGCATAACACCATGAGCCCCAAATACGTCCTTCATACACCCCCTCCCGCCAACCCTCATGAAACCCAGGCTACAAGCACCTTTATGCCACCAATTTTTATTGAAATGGGGGACGAAGGCGGCGAGTTTCTCGAAGCAAAGATCAAAGACGAGGTTTGTTCCCCCCCCTTCTTGCCCTCAGTATCTGTTAATCCCCTACCTCTAGACCGGCGAGACCGTCCGAGCAGACGTAGACTGGACCCCACTATCTGGCACCCGCTCCATAGACACCTCGGTCGTTGGTGGATTTATGTTCCAAACCGATGCGGGAAGTGAATGTTCGATTCAAGTGGTCGAAGATGGGAAACTACCTGTTCAGATTTTGATAGATCGGGATCAGGATTTTGGCCAGTTCCTCGTCGCTATTCAGCGCGATGAGGAGTGGAAGACATCTGGAGACTTTCACCTGCGATTCTTGCGCCGATTTCCGATCTTGGACAAGCGATGCACCGCTTACATCAAAGATGGACCGTTTGCAGGACCTGTCCCATCATTATCAGATTCAGGCACGAATATCACTGAGGTGCCAGGGTCGTCCACCGCTGACGCAATCACTGTCGAGGATAAGGAGGAAGAGCAGAAAGCGGCCGATCGGGCTAAGGGCACCAGGAAATCACTTCCAGCTCCTTCATCGTCCGACTTATTGTTCAAGCATGCTTACATTGTTCCTCTTGCCGGCCCAACAGGAAACTCCGAGGAAACCGAGGAATCAACGGACGAGGAAGACCACCTCGGGATCGGTGCAGCAGCCTTGAAAGGCACTGGGGGAGGTATTATCCCACCGGGAATGTTTCCGCCCCGAAAATGAAATCTACAATCGACAAGCGGAGAGGGAGGTCTTGAAGGCAGTATGAGGGGCATTTGCGGGATTGCGAAGTGGAAAGTGTGCGTAATTCGGGAACACGTCTACCTGAGACGTTGCAGGCGCTTCGATCTTGAGAATGGCCGTAGAATACTGTTCCTGTGGCCTAAAGGTATGAGAAAATGGAATCATGTTCCCGTACGTAGCCAGATTAATTGTTAGAGACGAAAGGCCCGGCTATTCATTACTTGATGAGCAATCGCTGCCCAAGAGGACTTTGATATCTTTCCTCTCAGCCGCCTGTGCGATGTTAGACAGCTTTCATACTTACACAGCAAGCAATGGTTTCCTCTTCCTCCACGACCTCACCGGTGTAAGATTACAGCGAGTGTAAAAGTCGCCCCGGAAACCACGGGAGCCGTGCAGTGAGAATAGAGCCAATCGTAGACTCTTGCAGAAAACACCGGCAAAAGACCGCTGTATGCAGTAATAGAACCCGGTCATGGGACTCGCAGAACACGGCGGATAGACCAGAAGAGAACGATCAATCCGAAACGTACCAAATCCATCGAGAACATTGACGATATCTCCATAGCCTGTTGAAAGTCAAAAAACACGTATGTAGTATGCCTACAGGTTTTCGAACCCGGAAGACATCCGAGCTTCAGGCCTCTCACTAACAGTTTGGAGGTACGTACCGTCCAGTGGGAACTGCGCTCTCATGCTCAAAACACCGTCACCGTGGATGGACGGTTGTCAAGCTTGCCAGGGGTAGATTCCCCGGAGCACAATGGAAGCCACCACCGTCGAGGACTAGCAACGACTGAGCAATGCCTTCCAGGCTGCACTAATGTTTTCTTGTAAATTCTTCAATCTCAAACATTATCAACAAGTAAGTATTGTGTTTGCCATCAAGACAGGCAAATTACCGAATCATACCCCGAAATATGAATCCTTACCGAATCATACCCCTAATTACTGAATAATACCCCTACACCAAAATTGGGGTATGATTCGGTAAGGATTAATGCTGGGTATGATTCGGTAATAAATTTGTGTAGACTATTGGGAGTGAAGACTATGTGTGAGAGTCGCAGACTGGGTGTAGACAGGCTGGGGGCCATATTTAGCCCACTGTTAGCAGCACCCCACGGGGGCCCTATTTAGGTCTAAATAGGGGTGTCTGGCTGTCAAGCGCAAAAAAGATCCCGGGGTGTCTGCGCTGACAGCCAGACCCCTATTAAACCTAAATAGGGACTCCCGTAGGGCGCGCAGGCCCCGTGGGAGCTGCTCAACACCCACTGGCTTCGTCTGATATTTAAGCTGGTAGGTCACCCATTAAATACGGTCGGAGATATTTCGTCTTTTCTATGGTCGATGGCCCAGGTCGCGAATTTTTCTCCTTTGCGATTTTGTCATGAATGGCAAATTACCGAATCATACCCCAAGTAATGGCAAATTATGAATCAACCCCTAGGGGTATGATTCAGTAATTAGGGTATGATTCGGTAAGGATTCATAGTTTCGGGGTATGAATTAGTAATTAGCCCGTGTTTGCCATCAAGACAGGCAAATTACCGAATCATACCCCTACACCAAATCACACCAAAAAATGGGGTATGATTCGATAATTTGCCATTGCTTGGGGTATAATTTGACGAGGGCCTTAAATAGCTTCCTGGTATAAGATAGTCTAATAAAGGTGATGATAGCGGTAGACTTGTTGAGCGTCTGATAGTAGTCGTCGACTCGATTATTAATGACGGTGGTATGATGGGGTGTGGTGATGGTCGGGTTTGACCTTCGAGGAGTCGAAATTTCGCGCACTCGGTTTTCGTCTGATAAGTATTTTTAGACGGATAGAATTCAAATACGGTTGAAGAAATTCTTTTACTTCTATGATCGAATAGGCTGGACCGCGGGTTATCATCTTTATAATTTGAGGTTACTTTGATGACTTACTAAATCATGACCCAGGCAATGACAAATTACCGAATTATACCCCATGTATGGGTGAATTTGGTGTAGGGGTATGATTCGGTCGGGATCCATACTTTTGAGGTATAATCCGCCCCCATCAAGACGGTTAAGGCTGAGTGGCGAGATCTTGTGCATCATAGCATCTCCGAACATTACCCGTAGCCGAGAGGGATCGGATTCTTCATTTGACTCGGACTCTGAGCTCTTCAAGCACGAAATCATCAAGCATGATCCTGCCGGCTTAGGCACCTTCAAAACACCATGGCAACGAACTCTAGTATGTATTGCTTATTGCTCCAGGTTCAGAGAGTATAATGAGGCTGACTATTACATAGTCAAGCTGCTGACTGGTATGGCTCATTTATGCAGGCTCGTCTGTCGAAGTTAACCAATTCACACAGGCAATTCCCATCCTGAGTTGGCGAAACTGGTTGCTGATAGGTATGTATGTCCCAGCATGAGAACGTACGTAGATACTAAATGTATCCACAGGCTGCAAATCGAGTTGGTAGGTTAACTTCCAGTCCCTTGGGTAAACCATCTGATTGGGCTTGTTCTCGAGACCAAAGTGCTTGTCCTGCAATACTCGAACAACGAAACTTCTGTCACAATTGGCGAGAGGTAATCACCAAAACCAATATCGAATCCACAAGCCATCTGTTAATCCATGCTACCCCAGTGTCCGAGACGAAGATGGTATGCTTCATGCCCCCTTTTCCTCTCTTACCTCCGTATCTGATACCGCCAGTCTTCATACTACAGAGTACTGCACCTGGCGACATCAACGACGGCCTCATGGAGCTCCTCATAATGATAAATGCCTGCAAGACCGCTTCAGCTCGTCGAATCACAGCGGTCATTCCCAAGTAAGTCCTTCGCGTCTTATGATAACTGGTCTGCCTCGCTAATACGTCTTTCAGTTTCCCATACGGTTTGTCTGCTCTATGCGTCTCTCCCTCTTTCTACTGAGATAATGTCTAGCCCGTCAGGATAAGAAGGACAAGTCTCGCGCTCCTATCACTGCGGTCAGTTCCTGATTGCCAAAGTACTACGGGTCATCTACTGACGAATGTTGAATATCAAGAAGCTCATGGTGAGGCTGCACAAAGAACACGTCCGGAGCTTTGGCGTTGCTAATGATTCCTGAAGGCGAACATGCTACAGACAGCAGGCTGGTACGCAGCCCTACCCCTTTCCGTCAACTTCTCCTAACACCTTCAAGCTCTCACGTCATCACGATGGATCTACACGCGTCGCAGATACAAGGTCTGTCCATGCCTCAGACCCTACATTCAAGCAAGTTTCTGATCATTGCAGGTTTCTTCAATGTACCGGTATGTTAAGGAACGGTGTCTACAAGCTTGTTTCCACTAATCATCAAGCATAGGTCGACAACTTGTATGCCGAGGTGAGCCGCGCTTAGATTTCTTATATGGAATAAGACACCAGAGCGACTGACCGTCATTAGCCAAGTTATCTCCGTTGGATCCGAGAAAATGTCGACGTCCGCAAAGCAGTGATCGTGTCTCCAGATGCTGGAGGAGCCAAGAGAGCGACGAGCTTGGCTGATAGGCTTGATTTGAACTTCGCTTTGATCCAGTAAGCAATGAGTACATTATGTCCACCACAGCAACAAACTGACAATATGATTGTAGTAAGGAGCGTAGCCGACCGTAAGTGCGCCTCTTTATCTTATAGGTGCCTTCTAATACCGAGAATTCTAGAAACGAGGTCTCGAAGGCAAGCCCAAGCCCGATCTCACTTCCGAAGAGCTAAAGCTAACGTAGTGTCGCCACAGATGACCCTTGTGGGCAACGTCAAAGACAAATGCGCCATCCTAGTCGACGACATGGCCGGTACGCATCCGCACCCCAAGTCCTCCCCCCTCAACCCTCCCTATCAAACTAATCGAATCCGCCACCAGACACATGTGGAACCCTCGCCAAAGCCGCCAACACCCTCCGCGAACACGGCGCGTCCTCAATCGTAGCGCTGGTCACGCACGGCATCTTCTCCGGCAACGCCTTGAAAACCCTCAACGACTGCGACGCCCTCAGCCGCGTCGTCGCCACCAACACCGTGCCCTTCTCCGAGAAGCGAAAGCGGTGCCCCAAGTTGGAGGAGATCGATGTTTCACCCACGTAAGCCTCCTTCTGACCAAAGCCCAAGCGTGGCTACTGACCCTTTGACCACAGGCTCGCGGAGGCTTGTAGACGAACGCATAATGGCGAGAGCGTGTCTTTCTTATTCAGCCACGCGCCTATGGAGTAGGAAGTTGACGGGAAGGGACTTGGGATCTTACGTTGTTGTGGATTTCGTACAGGGCGTTGTGGGCATGGTCGAGGGCAACAGGCCGGAGAAGAACGGGTTCTAAATATATGATGAAGGACAAGGCGTAACAGAATAATCAGAATTGATGGTCACAAACTCAATGAATGATGCATGGTTGCTGAGAACGGACTTTGATCTATGATGTCTGTTCTACATGCACTTTGCATTCAATCCAGCCAGATCAACGCACGCGTGTGCCGGCTATTCTCCTTCTCCTCTCTTGGACACTCCCAGCAAACATGTTCCAACCATCGACCTTTTTCGCCATTCGCTTGCTCGGTATCTGCGATCGACCATCTACTTCCTCATCGACGACGCTCTTCGCTCTGTTGCAAATTAGCCACCATTCAAGCCCCGCCCTGTAGAAGTAGAATCAACTTACTCCTCAACTCGGACTTCTTCGCCTTCTCCTCATTGACACGCTTGGCTAAGATAGACGCGTACTCATTCTGCCAGCACCAATCAGCCATACAACCTTACGAGAACCATGTCCATATAGATGTAGATGGATGTGGGTAAGGACTTACGGCAGCATCCTTGGAGGATTCGGCCTGGCGACGCTTGAGTGCCATTCGGTGACGCTTGTGCTGGAGACGCTGCGGAGTGACGAGGCGCTGGATGCGGGGTGCCTTGGTGTAGGGTTTTTTGCCTTCGCCCTTGGGTTGAACTTCGCGTCGGATGACGAATTTGCGGACCTAGTTAGTTCGCACCAATTGATCAGCACGAACTCCGACATCAACACCAATTTCCTCGGCGCCACCAGAGAACACCACGTGCAGGGGAATGGTCCGGGTACAGCGAGATAGAAATTTGGAAGCACTCACATCATCATCCTTGCCCAACCCAAAGAACTTGCGGACCTTGGTCGCCCTCTTCGGGCCCAACCTCTTCGGCAACACCTTGTCCGTGAGACCCGGGATCTCCTCCTCGCCCTGCTTGATCACGCTCAACGCCAGCACCGCCAAATCCATGGCCACGATGCACCCCCGGACGCTCTTCCTCTTCCTCTCCCCGGTCCTCCGGGGCCGGTAGCAGCTATGTCCCGCACCCAACAGCAAGCGGACTCTCGTAGGATGCATGATACCCTGCTTCATCGGGAAGCCTTGTTTGTCGTTGCCGCCGGTGATCTTGAAGACGTAGCCCTTGAACTCGGGAGAGACGCCGTCGCCGGGGACTTCCTGGCCCATGCGCTTCTCCATGAAGCTGCGGAGTTTGCGCTCGTCTTCGATTTCGACGAGTTTCTGGGTGCCGTTGGCCGGGTAGGAGATGTTGAGCTTCATCCTGACGGTTGGGGGGGTGGGACGTCAAGATGGTGGAAGTTGGTTGTGCGGTGGGGAATGTGAGGTCGAGCTGTATTTTCGCCTAGCGAGACTTTGTGCGAGCTAGGACGCGCTAGCTGCTCCATAGGGCTGAGGCAGAGACTCAAAATGCCAAGGCTCGAGTGCCAAGACATGAAATCTCACTGCACGTATCAACGGCAGCGAGCTGGAAAACATCGCTATCGCATGTTTCGTAGAAAATTGTCTTCCCGCGGATGGGGCTATCGTCTCTCATGGCCCCAATGCTTTATAGCTTTACTGTGCCGTTGCTTTGATGTGCTCTACCTTTTATTGCAGTTGACAGTTGCTGAAAAAGAAGACGCACAGACCAGCCAGTTGTCTGCATCGTTCTGCCTTCGCCCAAGAGCGGCCGCGCACTCAGCCTGTGCATAGATCACGGAAGATGGAGGCTAATTCTTGTCTATTTATCCTTCACGTGCTTGGTCCACTTCTACAAGCTTACGAGGGTATCCCTCGGAGTCTTCATTCTCCGTGATAAGCCTTCAAAAGACCATCTTCCGCCTGCTTGGCTTAGACTCTTTTGACCAAAAATGGCTCAAACATCCTTCTGATGTCGGTCGGAACGCTGAGCAATGGACTGATACTTGAGCGTTGTGCTTCCTCCTCATCAAGATTTTTCTTTGAGCCTTTGGGACCCATCTACTCATGCATGTTGAGCACCATAGGCTCCTTCGAGTGCAGCAGACTCCTACGGATACAATGACCGAGTGAGGGAAGCCCAGCCACGACCAAGATGACCCAGAATCTCCCGGGACGAGCACATCGAACAGGGAAGAAGCCCCTGGAGGACCTTTACGCTATCTAATGGGCTCTTTGAAAGGATTCTATCTGCGGATCGTCACAGAGAGCTAGGCTGGGGACTGTCATGGATAATGTGTATTCACAAGAACGTTCCTAATAGGATTGTTGATTGCTTGGGCCCATAATTTTCAGCCCTAACGATGCTTACGGATTCGAAACCGTCCTCTTCGGAAGGCCACGGGACTTTGACCATGAACTTTGTGAATTTTTAGCCTTCTGCTTCAGATCAGGGTTTGTACACGTCAACACAGACGAATGACTGTGTTGGGCCGCTGAGCTTATTTTAGAATCGAAACCAAGAGCACAATTGCGCTCGCTCTCTTGGCAAAGCAATGTCCCAACACTATAAAACACACTCCGATTCTCCCCCGTCTTCTGAAATCCACACACAACCCAAATCTATTCCCCTACCATGGGCAACATCTTCAGCATGGCCGCACCCCCTCTCGACACGGATTCGAATGCCGCTTTGAATATCGCCATGTACATAATCTGCTACCTGCTCATCATCGGCGTCGTCCTCGGTATCGGCATCTGCATCTGCATATACATCGACCACCGCCAACTTACAAGACTCTCTGCGGCAGTCTTGGACGAGGAACGAAATCTAAACGCGAGGGAAAAAGAGCGCGAGGAGAAGGTCGAGGAAGTACCTCCGCTCCCACCTCGATCACACCAAAACCAAACGGCTCAATCCATCTCGGACCTACAATACTGCACCCACATAAACGAGAGACTACCCCTCCTCAAGACTGAACACGGAGCCACCGCCCCTCTTCGTGTCCTCGACGAAAGATCTACACTGGAACACACCAACAAGCCAGCCGTCTTCCCGCGACGTTCGACGACAAATGCGAAAGCGCACGTTTCCAAGTACTTTACCAAATACGGAATGACTGAGGCGGTGTGATGGGATGAGATAGAAATTCAAAGTGGAAAGATGGACTCGGTGCGGATGGATGGGAATTGATATTGTGATTGAACATCCGTAGGTGGAGGATGAGGATAGCCATTAGGGACCACAGTCTAGTATAGCATGAATTTGAGGACAGTCTTCTCTGAGGTGCAGAAAGTGTTGGGAAGAACGATTTATACGCTTGCCCAGCTATTGTGATGAATGGATACACCTTCACAGAAAACCAGAAGACTCAGCCAGCGCCAAGTTCATGAGGAAAGCAGACGGGCCAGCCCTTGGCAAAGTTTCAACGAATGACTTCATTCCCCTCCTTCTCAATCCCCTCCAATCCCTCCAGGATATCACTTCCGCCCAACAATCCCATATGCACACCCGTAGACTTTCTTGGCCCACTCCACACCTCATGAAACTTCACCGACTCATCAGAGCACGCTACCAAAATGCACCCTTCATCTCTTGTTCTCGAGTACCATGCTTCGCCCATACTTGTGTCACAATTTGTCTCGCCGGGCCCACCAGGGTAAGGAATGGCGTAGAGAGCACGCATGTCGCTCGCCCAAGGTATGGCGATGACTTGCTGGCACTCGGGCCATGAGAAGACAGCAACGCGGTAGGGATGATCGGGTTGCGCGTAGCCAAATGTAGCTGCAATCTCTCGGCGTGTTGTTGACCAGATCAGCGATGTAATCTGGGCATAGCAGTTTATGGTAGCAAGGCAGGCTCCTGAAAAAGTATGGTAGAAATGGATTGCTCGGTCGTTGGAGCCACCGCCCGTGGCAATCAATCCACGCTGCCACGGACAGAAAGCGATAGCTTTAATAGCAGCGCTGTGGACCCATCTGTGCTTTTGGCGTCCCTCACCGATGAGGAGCGAGCCATTCTGACCAGGAATAATCCTGGTGCGTTGGACGTGTACGCCGTTGGCTAAGACGCCCATGACCTCCGAGGGAGTCTGCGTTCTTGCGACAAAATTTGGAAACCCGAAGCCACCGATAATGGTTTGGAGCGGACTTCTGAAGTAATTCGAAGAGTCTTGCGGGGGCTCAGGAGGTGCCAGAACGTCTTTGACCTCGAATAAGCAGCAGACGTTGTCATTCGCGCCTGTAGCAAAATAGTCTCCATCAGGTGACCAAGCAAGGCCACATAGCTGTTGACTGTGAACCGATATTTTCGCCATCAGGGTCATAGCTCCAGTCCATCCATGTATGTCGACCTGCTGCTTGCTCATCCACTCGACAGAGTAGTAGTAAACATTGCCGACTTCGTCGCCCACAAGAAGCTCTTCAGTGGCCATCATACAACCAAAGCGCTCTGATGGCCTGCGAGTGGTGACGGGCTTGAAAGATACACACGCAATAGCACATGGCTGCCGAGACTGAAATCTGATATTCTCGGGATCGGCGAGACTCCACAAACTGATATGGCCAGTATTACGCCCGATGGCTAGGATACTGTGGCCGCCTTCGGTGGAAGAGAAGGCCAGCGACGTGACATAAGTTGACTCGCGAGTATCCGGATCCTCTGGTGGGTACCGAACCCCAAACGTTTCCGACCAAAGATAGACTCTGTTACCGAGACCGACGGCGAGAGTACGAGCAGTGTGGCAGTAAGCGAGAACAGTGCAGTAATAATCATCTCGCAAATTGGGAGCATCCAGTACTGTGGGGCGCTATCAGTCATGCTCTCTCCTGGGTTCAATCGAGGACTTATCTGAATGGTGTGGTTGGGACAGCTCTAGGCTCTATTTTCCGATGCTTCCTTGCTGCTTATCCTCAGTAAGCTCAATAAGTCGTGAAGTACAACAAGTCACGATAGCACTTTAGGAGAATGGAAAGCGCTGCTGGGTGCAAGGGCTAATAAAACAGTAAGCAAGAAAAAGGGTAAACTCACGCGACTGCGAGCCTTCTTGGATCCACTGATCATTCATCCATCGAGTCCGAGGTTCGAGATAAGGATACTTCCGCTTTGTTCCAATCGAGCCGGTGCTGATACTCCTGGCTTGCACGGGAGACCTAGAGATATCCAGTATTCTGCATGTCTGATCAATGCCCAAGGCGACAGCCAGTCGGCTTTCCAGCTGGCTGTTGTCTTGATCCAGAGTATCATCATCAAAAAAATGAGAGGTGAACATCGGTGCGTTCGATCCACTGCTGATAAAGCGGCCTCGTCCGTCGGAGATGCCTCGAACAGGGCCTAACGGAGTGCCTTCAGAGCCTCCGCCAATGTTCCATACTGCGCCTGCACTGGCTTGCCTGTTCTGAATTGCGAGGGGGTCCTGAGGAGGATGTTGCACGTTCGTGGTTCCGATCGTGCGGGGGCGAGATTGGACGACACGTGGGTCCACATTGGCAGAGGCGTTGATTCTTGCCTCCCGTACACGTCTGACACTCAATGGACTGAATGGGTCTGGCGTAGCTGACGGGTGCCGCAAAAGCTTCTCCAGGTTCGAAAGCTGGTGGGGGAGCTTGCTTAGGCGGAAAGTTTTTGAGGCATCCTGCGGAGTGTTTCGATTTGAGATGTACCGATCAGGTGATATCGATGGAGTCCGGTATCCTGCTGTAGCACTGATGCCTCGTCCTCTTGGTGTTCGAGGGCCCTCATCGTAAGTGGCCAAGGTCGGACTAGATGTTAACAATGGTACTGGAGTCAGAGGGAAAGGAGAAGGATCAACGTCTTCGCTGGTGCGGCTTTCTATTGATGGAGTGCCAGGAAAATCATCTTCCGAAGCGGATGGTGACGGATACGAGCCTCCACCATCGCTCAAGCCGTCAGCTGGATTTGGAACGCAGCTCCCGTAGTACTCAGAAGCGTATAACGAAGGAGAATTGTCGGTTGATCCGCTACGATCAGACTCCGAGCTGGACTTGCAAGTCTTATTGCTCGTTTCACTCAAGGCAAGGGAAGCAAAACCACGAAGAGAACGTCGGCCCTTGCACTTGCGAGGTCTGGCAGTAGCATATTTGGGTTGCCGAGAGCCCCGAAGCTCAAAGGCTGACGCAGCATGGGACAGTCGAGTGAAACGAACTTCTGAAGCGCAGAGAAGGTCTGCAGAGTAAAGATTGTCGTCTACAGAGGCAGAAATGATACGGGGCATTGCATTGACAACGCGTATGTAGCAAAAGAGTGGGCGTAATGAATGTATTGAACAAATGACTGTAGGTACAAGTGGGTGTCCTGAAGGCCTAGCAGTCCCTGTGAAGCATGTTAGTAACGAATAGTGTACGCCTGATCCTCGACGTCAATTGTCGAGGATTTAGGGGAAAGACAGGTGTCTGGGCGAAGAGAAGACCAGTGCCAAGACGGTAGGGCTGAGCTGAGGCAGCAACGTCATCGTGACTTCCTCCAGCATCCTTTCCTACAGCACTGCAACCTTACAAGGTGTAGCAATATGGCAAGTGTATGTCAGGGCAATTGCCCCATGAAGCTCATGAATCTCGTTCGCTGACGAGCAAACTTGCAGCATGGCGTACCTCGTGTACAACCAGCAACAGATCGGGACCAGAAGAAAGAGCAACAGAAAATCAAGGACTACAAGGGATTAGTAGATTCTGTGAACGATGGAGTAGGCATATAAACCGGATTTCCGTATCGATACTCACGAGTATCTAGATTCGAGGATATCAGTGCACCACCAAGACTTTAGAACTGACATCCAAATTGCTGAAATGGAACCCGGAGTACTATACAATCTGGAACCATCGCCGTCTGATACTCAAGCACCAATTTGAGCATCCAGATCCTCAAGTTACAAACGCTGTTGCCGGTCCCGACCATGAAACTGTCATGAATACCATCTCCGATGAACTTGCTTTCCTCATTCCTCTGCTGCGAAAGTTTCCAAAGTGCTACTGGATATGGAACTATCGTCTCTGGCTCCTCAAAGATTCCACCCGGCTTCTTTCAGTACTTGAAGCACGCAAATTCTGGCAGCAGGAGCTTGCGCTAGTAGGCAAGATGCTGAGTCTTGACAGCAGGAATTTCCATGGCTGGGGCTATCGAAGGACCGTTGTTTCAGCTTTGGAGTCGATCGCGCTCCAAGCTGAAGGCTCAGCCACGAGTATGACAGAAATAGAGTTTGAGTACACGACGAGGATGATCAACTTGAACCTGTCAAATTTTTCTGCCTGGCACAATCGGAGCAAATTGATCCCTATACTTCTCGATGAGAGAGGGGCAGACCATCTTGCAAGGCGAAATTTTCTGGACGAAGGTGAGTAGGTTTCCCAGAAAGTTTCGTTTATCGACCTCTGATGTGCTGGCAAGAACTCGAGCTGATCGAGCGAGCGCTATGGGCGGGTTCTGAGGACCAATCTCTATGGTTCTACCACCAGTACCTGATGTGTACGTTTGACCGAAAGTATGCTGCCGAGTCGATGGCACCGGATCTTACAACAACTGAAAGGTCAACCTATGTCCGCGAACAGATCCTCAAAGTCCGTGATATGCTCGATGGCGCCGAGGACTGCAAATGGATCTATCAATCGTTGATTAGTCTAAGCATCTTATATCGCGATCTTGGAAATGAATCGATTGAGAAAGAGGTCGCTATCGAGGACTACATTGCTGAGCTTATAAAATTGGATCCTTTGAGGGCCGGGAGGTGGAACGACTTGAAAAGCCAGACAACCTGATGAATGTATGGGAATGGCCGTGATGAACATAGGGTCAGCCTTGTAATGGGTCTCAGATGAGTATCAGAGTAGTGCTTGGCTTGGTAGGGGTTCATTCACTACTCTATGCTTCACTCATCGAATGTGATCACCCCAGATCTTCAAATCTTGTAAGCCTCCTCCATACGGTCTATAATCATTCGCACGCTCATTTATCTACCATTACCATAGCTACTTGATCCTTCTTTGCTCATCATGACGACTCGTAAGTCAGTCGCAGTTGCGGGGTAAGGCTCCCCACGTTTTGCTGGTTACGTGTTTTCTGATAGTCAGCGCAGCATGCCTACCTATCTTTCGATCCGCAATTTTCTGCTGCAGATAACACTCCTGAAAATCTCAAGTCCTATTGTCACCCGGCTGCCGTCAGTACCTTTGACTGTTACTTTCTTGGAGCTAAGTCAAGCTTCGGCTGTTCTCCTGAGGACAGGATAGACAAGAGTGGCCTATTCCCGACTGTGAAAAGAAACCCTTTCGAGGTCAAGGAAACAGCGCGTATGGAATTTCTGCTCGAGTTTCAGCCTGACGGAGACGGTGCCGATGTCAACACGGAAGACATCGACTACTTCTCCACTCAGGCACTTGTTGAAGTGCGAGGAGTATTCCGAAACTTCCGCTTCTGCGACCGATTCATAAGCTACGTCTACGATGACGGTTTCATCCATGTGATTCAAATGCTCGGACGCTATGCCGATCTTACTGATGGTAGCATCGAAATTCTTGGTGGGCAAGGTCATACGACGCAGAAAGCCTGGGGTCAGTGGCGCACTGGGCCGCCTATGATTTCACTCAGCAGTCCCAGTACCTGGGCGCTGGATCTTTATGGGGTCCAACCCCGCCTTCATGGGGTGGAGTTCCAGCGAATGAAGGTTGAATTAGGATCAAGAGAGATTGAACAAGAACGATAGGTCTCTAAATTCCATTTTCAGCCACTCAGGGACATTTCAGTGTGGCAAGGAAGGCCGTCTGGGAAAGCAGCGTCCAAAGCCAGGTCTCCTGACTCTTGAGGAGTCAGTTCAAAATAGATTCAGAAGCAAGAATTGTCCTTGAACTCGTCATTCAAAACACTAAGCTTGATTTTGTCAACCTGAACGTTACTACAAGAACGATAATGCCTAGAGCCTCCCTACTTCTCCACTCCGTCCTTACCAAGGCGTCTTCAAGTGCAACGTCTATGGCTTATCGACCTCGTGTCAGCGCCCCATGTCTTCAGCACACTATATTGATAATCGCTCGGTCTTTCTCACATTTCATCCAACTAAACCTTGATCCAACCCACATGCATCCCAAAATCCAATGCACGCCCACCAATCCATCCAATCTCTTTCGCAAAACCAACCGCAACGCCCCCTCCCTCCCTCCTCCCCACCATCCAAAACCCCCAGCCCAATCCTCCCAACCCAACCCAACCACATCCAGCAAACCACCCCCGCCACACCTCCAACCCTCCCCTCAGCCGCATGCTCAGCATGCCAGTTGCCGAACCCCACGACCGCCATCGCACCCACCTTCCGGTAGAAGTAGAACATCGAACCCCGCACCCGACGGGTGTTCGAAAACAGCTGGATCAGAAGCCGTGAAAGCTCACGAAGCGCGACGGCTTCCGCTCTCTGGACGACGGCGCCGGATCAGGGATACGACATCCGACCAGGGCGGTGGAGTACGGGACGGAGATGGCAATGGGGGGGTTTGTTTGTGAAAAGTGACCCCCAGCAAGATACTTACGACCAAACACTCGCACGCCATTGGAGAAGTGGTGGAGACCCCGCCCGACGACCCAGCGGCGCAAAGAAACCTGTTTGCGTGTGTGTGTGTGGGGGGGGGGGAGGCGGTCTCGGTACCCGCGGCCGCAAGGTATGGCAGTTTTGCCGAGCGCGCAGGTCTTGAAGCCGAGGTGGAGGCTGGGGGTGGGACGAGGTTGAGTGACGGATATTACGGCGCTGGGTGTCGAGGTGGGAGAGATCCGGGGGGGGGTTGAAGGGAGGAAAGAAGGGCAAGCCCGGGACCAATGGTAGGAACGAGCGGCACCTTTGGGGGCGGATGGTGTGAAGGTGGTAGGGTGAGAAGTGGTGTGGAGAAGAACCGGGTTCGTGGGGCAGTTCGGATGGAATCTGAGGTCAAGGTTGAGAAAAAGGGAGCCAATATCAAGGATGAGACTCTTTGGTTGAGCTGTGAATCGTGAGTTCATAACCAAGCAGGGGGGGGAAGGGAGAAGAGTCCAGATGAAACGGGGCGATTAGCAGATGACTCGGGCGTACGGTGTGAAATATATGCTGCAGAAGAAGATCAGTATCTACAGTCCGTTAACCCAGACGCCTGCTGTCAACGAACATGCTATCAACCATGCATGTGTAACGATACGCCATTTTACCATGCCTGTACAAACTGCACAAGTGTCCTCTGGCATATCCACCAGCTCCTCAGAATGGTTTCCCCTCTTCCCCTTCTCCGCCCCCATCCTCGCCATGCCCGAACCCCAGCACCCTTTTCACCTTTCCCACACTTCTCCTGACCGCTTTTCTCGGGTGCGCACCAATACCCATACCCATACCCATACCCATCCCCTCTCCTGTAGCTGCGTGCGCCAGGCCAGCTTTCTCTGCATCGCTTTTAGGAGGCCATTCTCCATCCTTCTTCCACCCAGCAACAAGAGATTTGACGACGTCTTTCAGGTTTATGGGAACGGTAGGTGCGAGGCCTTGAATGATGATTTTGCTGTATATCTGGGGGTAAGTTGCTGGTTGTACGGTGGTGCGAAGGGGATGATCCGGTGACATTATAGGAGGAGCGACGGGAACGACAGTACGGGGAGAGGGTGGGGTAAAGGATGTGCCGTTTGGGGGAGGCCGCACTGGTGGATAGGGCGCTTCAAATGGAGATTTGAAAGTTGGTGGCGGAGTCATTGGCTGTGTTCTCGCTCCAGCCCAGGCATCCCTGCGCTCAACGTATGTTCTAAGACCTTCATTCCATTCCATCTCCTCTTTCAGACGCCGCCTTCTTTTGCGCTTCCGGGAGAGTACTGGTTGGTGTAACGAGTCTGGGCTGTCGTATTTGTATGGATTGAGGTTGGGATCTTGTGGTGTGGAAGCAATTGAAGAGTCGGAGTCACGCTCGCGCCATTCAGCAATAGCATCCGGAGAGTCCAAAGCGTCTGGAGGAGAGGATTTTGGGGGCCAAGACCAATCTTCTCGTAGCTTGGAGCGGATTTGCTGTTTGGCAGCTCGGACTGCTTCATCATTCACTTTTGAAGTGACAGGTCTCTTCGTAGTCCTGTTCTGGAGACCGGATACTGGGTTTGAAAGGGAAGGGGTCTCGTGACCCCCACTGGACGCGTTCTCCGTGGTATCCGTCGTTAGGGATGTGGAAGACAAGGTAGGTAGGTTGTCCGCTGAGGAGTTCTGCATTGGTGGGGATGATTCTTCTAGGGAACTACCCCAATGTATGTGGACGTTCACCATTCACAGCGGCGCCCTTATCATGCAGTAAGATACAATTTATCACGTACGAGCAAGGGTAATCTAAGTAAGTCGGTTGGTTTCAATGACGGCATTCCGGCCACCGGAGACATCGCAGCGACCAGCTACCAGCACCAGCAGCGGGAAGCAAATAAGCTTATTCAATACTCTCTAGGGCTTCCCAGGAGGTCCTTGCGGGCCTCATAGTGCTTAGCTTAGCCTTGACATGACTGCCTACCTTAGAACCTGCCCTGGCAGCTGGTCAAGATTCAAGAGTCCATCCTACTTGTCCCATAAGATAATTAACGAAACATCGCCCAAGGGCTGTAGAATGGCTCAGGTAATGGGTCTTTGGAAAATTGATCAAAAGGAAAAAGACAGTCAGGCAGCTGCTTTCCAGAAGGACAGCCTCCTTGCCTGCCAATTAGCTAAATGGATGGATGACAAGTGCAACACTTGAGATATGGATATTGACTTGCAAAGCGTCTTCTTCTTCTTCTCAGCATACTCTCTTCGGAGCTCTGGTCAAGGCAAAGTAGATCGATCTTTCTCTGCCTATCGTTCAATCGCCGTCTCCCGCTGAAAGGTAAGGCCGAGCGGTTAGTCGGCATCCCACGGCCTGAGGTGTGGAGCGCTTGAGGACATTTGAGTAGCGGTCCTCTTCGACCTGAAGCATTTGACAATCCCATTTGGATACACACCATTTATTGACCGCACAAAGCTTGATCAGGGACATTGACATCTCAATTACAAAGGGGAAGTCCCTATCAGCCATGGCGGATCGAACCTTTGACTACATCATCGTCGGCGGGGGCACAGCGGGGTGTGTCGTAGCATCTCGCCTCCACCAAGGCGACCCATCCAAGTCAATCCTTCTTATCGAGCGAGGCCCAGATGAACAAAAGCATCCACAAATAACTAATCCCGTGGCGGCTCCTCTCATTCCAGTAACTACAAATCTAGTATCTAAATATGATACTGTCCCCCAGGCTGGACTCGCCGACCGTAGTATCCTGAACTTGGCCGGCAACATTCTCTCCGGCTCCAGTGCTGTCAATTATGGAATGTGGTCTAGAGGCGATAAAGCCGACTACGAGCAATGGGCAAAGTCATCCGGCGATAGTCGTTGGACTTACCAGCGAATGATGCTCTACTTCAATCGCAGCGAGCACCACCATGATCCTGATGCTGACAAAAAATTCCATGGATTTGATGGTCCAATACACACCGTTTCAGGCCGCCAGTATCCGCTACGTGATACCGTCTATAATGCCTTCCATGCCGCCGGCCACAAGGACAATCCAGATGCCAATAGCGGAAACCCCCTCGGCCTAGCCAAATACACCGAAAATTGGCACAAAGCAATTCGTCAACCCGCAGGCACCGCTTATCCCCTCAAAGGCGTCGAAGTCATGACCAACACCACCGTTCGCAAAATCAACCTCAAAGACCATTTCGCTACCGGAAGCATGCTCGCCACAGGCATCGAACTTCTCTCCGGCCGCCAAATCCATGCCCGAAAAGAAGTCATTGTAAGCTGCGGAGCTCACAGAACGCCGCAGCTCCTCATGCTCTCAGGCATCGGTCCCGAAGACGAATTGGCCAAGCATGGAATCCACCAACTCGTCAACAGCCATTTCGTTGGACACAATCTCTTCGATCATCTCGCACTCGGCATAGCTTGGAAGCTCAAGCCTTCTGTCCAAGAGCAAGGTGCAGCACTGGGTCATCCCGAATGGAAGAAGAAACCTTCCAATGCAGAGGGCATGCCAATGGAATGGATAGTGCACTCCAGCGTCCCTCCTTCAGCCCTCTTGCCGGCCTTGCAAGCAGATGGAGAAACACTTACCGCGTCAAAGCAACTCTTGTTGAAGGAGCGTGTGCACACCATGATGCTTGTAGCCTACGGCCCCATGGCAATGGGCCCAAATCGCTCTGTTCCCATAGACGGCTCGCACATCTCCACTGCAGCCCTGCTCTACCAGCCCACGTCCCGCGGCAGCATAACGCTCTCGTCCGCTAATCCAGAGGATTCTCCCGTCGTTGATCCAGCGTATTACTCCACCCAAGCAGACAAAGTCATGCTACGTTCCGCTGTCCGGGGCGTCCTACGCGTTGTTGAGACACCAGCTATGCAAGAAGTCATCGAATGCGAATCACCGCCGGAAGGTTACCCATCATTAACAAGCAAGTCGACTGACGAAGAGATAGATGCCAGAGTAGCCGGATTCGGAACCACGATCCATCATGTAGCTGGCACGTGTGCTATGGGAAACGTGGTGGATGGGCAGCTGAAAGTCAGAGGAGTGGATGCTTTAAGAATCGTTGACGCGAGTATCTTCCCAGCGCCCGTCAGTGGAGCGTTGCAAGCCTGCGTCTACGCCATGGCAGAGCTGGCGAGCGACTTGATTTTGGGTGATGCCAAAAAGGACACCAAAGATGCCGCCGGCGCCATCACGCCGTCTGAATTGGTGTCGGAAATGGCCGATACGATCCGCAATGCTCTCCCGGCCTCTATCAAGGTACTTGATCTTGTCAATATCATCCGTGATGCTCTCCTGAACTCCGCTAATCAGAGGTTCAGTCCTAGAGGTATTCGACTTTAGATCGCTGGGTACAAGCTAGGGATTGAGTATGAAAAGGAGCTTGACGCGGCTGTTTGGATTCTGCATTCCGAGCGATTGTCTCCAGTTTCAATCTTTTCGAGACGGGGTGGAACGTTTCAGCTCACGCCATAATGAGAACGTGTGAATAATGTTGACGAATTTAGCGGCATGGCGGGAGCTTGAAAGCATTTTTCCAAGGAGGCAAATCACCAGCAACGGAAAATTGCTCGTGCAGTTCTTCTTATACATATGGCTCTTCGAGCCCCATGCAAGCGCTCTCTATGCCAGAAAGAAGAAGAAAATTGTAGCCCTTTCTTACTACCACTCAACTCTGATTCCTCACCCTCGCCGCATCACTCCCCGCCTTCTCCCCCTCACTGACCGTCCTATACCCAAATCCACCCTTCTTCCTCCTACCCCTGCGATCCCCATATTTCTCATCGAACTTCCTAATCGCGCTCAAACTGCCCATGTCCTCACTAATACTCGCGCTGATCTCCTCCATGGCCTTGTTGAAGTGTCTCGTGTGCAGAGTCCGCTTTTCGGGGTATTCGTACTTTTCGGTCTGGCTCGTGTCTTTGGCGTGAGAAGCAGCGGCGTCGAATTCCTCCCGCACGCAAGCCAGAGCGGCTGCGACGCAGAGATTTTTGAGGTCGGATCCGGAGTAGAAGGGTGTCTGGGAAGCCAGGTCTGAGACGGATACGTCGGGGTCGAGGAGTTCGGTTTTGAGGTGGATCTTGAGGATTGCTTCTCTGTCTTTCTCAACTGGGAGATCGACGAGTAGGCGGCGAGGTAGTCGACGGAGTGACGCTTCGTCGAGATCGAAGGGGCGGTTAGTGGCGACCATGATGAATGCCGAGAGCTCTGTCATGCCATCCCATTCGCGCAGGAACTGGTTGATGAGTTCACGGTGACTGGTACGATTGCCGCCGCCGGAGCGGGCGCCGAGGATAGCGTCCGCTTCGTCGATGAATACGATGCAGGGTGTGAGCTTTTTGGCCAGGGTGAAGATGGCCCTGACGTTCTTTTCGCCTTCGCCGACGTACATATCATAGACATCTGTATTTGGTTAGTGAAGGATTCTGGGCAAGGTACCAGCAAATTAATTACCGGAGCCGCTGACTTCAAGCACTGTAGCTCCGCTCTCTTTGGCAACGGCTTTAGCGAGAAGTGTCTTTCCAGTACCAGGAGGGCCATAGAGTAGGAGACCCGGAATTCTGTCAGTGGCAAGTACACCGTATGTGAACGCGTCTGGCCGTACGAGTGACAGAGAGGTCAGTGTCTTCAGTGCTTCTATGGTCTGTGGTGAAGCCTGAACATCAGCGAAGGTGGTCCTAATATTCTCAGGATCCACGACGCCATTCAACAGCTTCCTCTCGTGCTCGTTGCAAGTCTTTCGTAGTTTTCGCATACGATCCTTGGAGTCTATTTCGGACGCAGAACCAGTAGACTTCGTCACGTTCTCTCGCTGCTGTTTCTCATTCGCCACCCAGTCACCCTTCGCGTTATCGCTCGATTCAATGATCTCCAATGCTTGTTCGATGTGCTTGATTGTCATTTCTTCTGATCCTTCAAGTAAGCCTAAACTTGTTGTCGCAGCTCTACTGACTGTATCGAGTGGCCATACAGACTCTTCTAGACCAGATAAGAAGGTCGTCTTAGAATCGACGTTGATTGTCCTGTCTGAGATAATAGACGCGACCTGGGAAGGTACTGCCGCCGTTCGACGCAGCATATCTTTGAGATGACGCATGTTGATGCCTCTAGTTTTCTCTTTGTGATACCGTGCGAATGTGTGCTCGGGCGACGCTTCATTGATAGGAGTTATGATGGTCCGCGTTGGTATATTTCTAGGATCTCTTTGCTCTTGGTCGATTCCGAGCCTGGAAAAAGATGACATGAGCTCTTTAGACGATACGGTTCCAATGATGAGCAGTCTTTGACCCTCTCGGCGCCTTGCCTCTACTACCTCGTGTAGCTTGTCGAGGAATTTGCCGCCGTTGATTGTCGCGTTGATCTGGAGGTAATCTTGAATCAGGACAATCAAACCCTCAGACCCGCGTTCGGCGTCACGATATAGACTTTCGGAATTCTCAGCTCGCGGAGACTGGGAGGTAGAATTCAAAATCCCTGCCGCTTCTGGTTGCTCTTGGGTGGTCGAAGCCTCCTCGGCAGGTTTTTCTGCCACTCTCTTGCTTTCCGCAGCGTTGAGCAACGTATCCACAAGCATGGTCATTTTCAATTCTGGAGTCGTATCCTTCAGTTGCAAAGCAGGCTTCATTCCGACTACTTTTGGTTGCTGAGGAAAACCAGCTTGCGACACGAAGGGTTTGAAGAAGTCCTGCAAGCTGTTTGGTGCAAAGGTCCCAACGTGGATCGCGTTGAACCCACCAACAGGACCATGCACGGGATATTTCGATTTTCCCGGACCTTGATCCATGTCCTCCTCCTCCGGTTCGTCGAAGTATTCTTCCTCAGGGGGATCTTCTGACCTTTGTGGGAAGCGCATGGCTGTGACCAGCTGAGTATCGTATCCTAGAGAGCTTAAAGTGTTACCCCGGAAATTTGATGGATCGTCAATGTAATCGCCTCCTATTTCGGCAATGTCTTGTGGTGTGAGCCGTAGAAGGTCTGTTAAGTTCTCTTCCGCCAATTGAAGCCCAATCACGTCTAAGAAAGAGGAACCACCGTTTTTGGGGCAGAAAAGCACGACGTGAGGTTTTGGAGAAGCAGCAATTTCTGCACGCTGCCATGATGAGACTTGAAGTCCAGCTGATACAACTGAGGATATTTCGCGCATGATGATGTTATCCAGTAGGGGCGTGGTAGGTCGAGACTTCGAGGACGGACCCTCATTAGTCTCCTGCTGACGGCCATCAGACTTTTTATTTTCTGGAGCTCCATTTCTCAAGCTAGCATCCTCAGCAACAGCTTGTTCTTCGTCATGTGCAACCTGGTCCGAGGGAAGCCCCCCAAGTCGTATGAGTGTCCTGGGCCCATCTTTTGTCCGCGCATGAGCGCGATCTCCCCGAAGTATCACATTCTGGTCTAAGAACCATGGCGGGATATGCACTGGCGGTGACTTTTCTCGCGGCTTGATGTTCCTTGAAGCCCTCCTTGAAGCCGAGCCGTAATTGCTCTTGTCTTTAGGCCTGGGGGGATTGTCTGAGGCGCCGTTGGGGTCTTCCGCTGTAGTTTCTAGTACGACAGAAGTTTGTTCTGATTGGATTGCATCTATCGGTTGCTCAACGGACGGGTTCCAAGGCGCATTCGGAGGATCTTCTTCGCGTTGAGGACTGGGGGAGGTATGGAAGGTGCGTTGTGGGAATGGTAACCGTCGGCCGGCGACGAGGCGACATACATGAGGACGGGAGCAACTAGAAGTCGCCCGCAGTGTTGTCCATAAAGAGGTACGCATCAAGTCGAGCTTGTATATGATTGAAGAACAGTGAGCACTCGTCCTCATTACTTGCTCCCCATGGCTGTGTAATATTGGGTCAGCCGAAGATCACCCGAATTCATTTATCCTCTGATCATGTGTCAGACGTCTAATTATTGAGGAAATTCTTGCTGTAATTGTTGTAGAACTAATTAAGCGCTATATTTACATCGTATCAGGATTCATCACAGCTGTTATCGCTGTGGAAATATCGTGACTTGAGGATTTTCATCATCTGCTTAGTGGCCAGTTATTAAAAACCGCCCTAAAGTAATCTTAAGACTAAGCTCGGGCTTAACACACAACCGGACATAAATGCAGAGACAACCTCAATCCCTTTCCAAGGTTGCGACTCACGAGTAAGATATCCGTACCACGCACCAGAACGTGAAACGCAATCCACTTTTGCTCGCCTGGACTAAAGCTTCCCGCTAAATTTGTGGCAAGAAAAATGACCTTTGACTCGACACTCTCGCTGGAGGCGCGGCACAACGTCCTACTAGTACAATACAGTCGCCGAAACGTCGCTATGACCCGAGGGCATGCAAAAGGTCGAGGAGACCAGGACGAAGCGGCAGAGGGTTTCCAACAAGACAAGCGTGAAGGGTGATAAGGAGAGGCGAAGGCTAGAAGATGCCAAGTTGGTGGGAGAACACTCACCTCCTTCCGCCAGCGTTGAGAGTTGTGAGGATGTACGCGGAGGGGAACGACAATCTACATGATGGTTGAGAGTAGGTGGAGAGCGTTTCTGTGAAGGGGGAAACAGAATATCCCAAAGAGAAGGCGGAGGTTGATTGTTGGACTTGGCCCAGAGGACATGATAACGGATGAGAAGGCACTTGCAAGGTTTGAGGATAACACCACATTGTGATGGCCCTTTCGACTTAATGAATTCCAGTACCGTGATCAAGCACATGGCTATGTCGTCTTAACGAAGGCAAATCCATCGCAATCGTAATAGAGGCATTCTATGAAGCACCTAGCGCTCTCGGAATGAGATTCTAGCATTTCGCGTCAAAAGGTCAAAAAGATAGCTCGTCATGCCATTGTGATGAATACAGCATGCTTTATGTGTACGATAACATAAGCGCGATAGCCGAGCTCTTGTTGTGATGTTGTGGAGCAACCCCGAATATCTTTCCACGATCACCAGACTTTGCTACCTTTACATCACAACACATCGCTGTCTCTCTCGCTGTCAAGGGCTAGGTCTACGTCAATACACTCCATGCCTCGCTAGCAGAGAGCCTCTTCGCTTGCACCCTCTCTTCTTAACACTTTTCATTGCTCACATGATGGTCGGACCAACCTACTCATTTTAGCTCTGTTCTTCTGCGCATTTTTTTGGTCGCCATGGGTGAGCCAGGCTATACGTCTTTCTTATGCTCCACTTACTGATGTTCTGGTCGGGTAGCGAACCATGATACCGTGCCTACAACGGCGATGCTCAAGTGCGTTTCGCATGGTTTCCAAGGGTTTGATACCTGTCCAGTGATCAACCAAGCTCATACCTCATCCTTGCCGTCGCCACATTCCCCCGTCGCTGAAAGAAGCTCAGTGGTCGTTCAAGCTGGCAAAGCAACTCCGCCACATGACACTGTAGCCGTTACTGACAGCAGCTCGGTGGTCAATCAAACCGAAACCTCGCCTTCACCGGATGTCGCCGTCGCTGAAAGTGGTCCGGGGATCAGCGAAGCTGATAATTCTTCCAATGCCGCCGTCGCTGAGATAAGTTCGGAGATCAACGAAGCTGAGAAGTCTTCGTATGTCACCGCCGCTGTTGCCGAAATCTCAGCACCTGCGAACGAGCCGGTAGAAGTTTTCCGATTTCCAGACCTCGCTCCCGAAATCAGAAACCGCATCTACCGTTTTGTTCTCGGGCCACCGCAAGATCCATCCATTTGCTTGACCCAGGTCCTCGATAATCGTCCACTCAGGGCGCCAAGCGGAAGTCTTGACTTGGACAACACTTTCCGTACTAAGTCAGTCATGCCAAATCCTAAGCACAAGGATCCTCAATGGGGCGTAATTCATCAGGTCAAATCCAATGATCTGTCCATACTTCTAGTATCAAAACAAACCTATTTCGAGGCATTTCATGTCTTCTACTCAACAAATTGCTTCTCCTTCACGGATACGGGACTGCTCTATCGCTTCTTGAAGAACATTGGATACACTCGTCGCCAACACTTGACCATGGTATATTTCCTGTGGCGTGGACCAGACGCAAAAGAAGCCTTCCGTTTGTTGAAGACCTGTCGACGGCTCACTACCGTTCAGTTCACAGTTCCTTGTAGCCATCCACCCGGCTATGAAGCACTAAAAGAGGTCAGGGTGGAAAATGCTAAAGCGCGCGCCCTCATACATTTCGCCCCCGCGCAGAATCCACCTCTACACATTCACAACCACACCAGTTGCTTTGGAGACTACCAATGCCACTGTCTTTGCAGGCGCCGCTACGAACCGGCATCCAATCTCCGAGAAATTGAGCGCGCGATGATGAGACCTCGACGTGAACAGGACTTACCGGATGCCGAAGAGAAGTTCGATCTGTTCAAGTCAAAACGCGAGCATTTCAAAAAGTCGGAGGAGCAAGATTTGCTAGAGGATAAGGCCTCTTTCGACGATTTCATTGGCAGAATAGAGCAGCAAGGGAAGGAATTGAAGTACCTGGGACGCAGGAATAAGTCCATGGAAGCCGCTCTGAATCAGACACTGAAGGGACCAGATGTCGATGACTATTTCAGGGACTTTGCGGAAAAGCTCGCCGAAGATAAGAGGCTAATCAAGAGGAAGGAGCGCTGGCACGCGAAGCGACAGGAGGAGAAGGCAACCAAGGAGTTGGAGGAACGTTTGAGGAGGGAGTCTGACGAGGCGAAGGAACTTGAGATCAAGACGCGTCGAGAGGCGAGGGAACTCAAGTGGAAGATTGCCCGGGAGACGAGGGAACATGCCAAGAAGATGGCCAAAGAGGCCAGGGAGCTGAAGAGGAGGACCGCTAGGGAAGCGAAGGAACGTGAGAAGATGATGGCTAGAGAGGCGAAGGCACAGAAGAAAGCAGACAAGGAGGCGAAGGGCCGCGACAAGAAGACGGCTAAAGGGACCAAGAAGCTTGAAAAGCAACTGCTCGGGGCGTCGAATTGATCAACGGTGGATCAAGAGCAGGGAGCTCTAGGTACGCGACAATCTCTAGCCCTTGTCGTCACTAGTAAGCCTTGTTCTAGCGCTTCGGCTGTCCCACTGTACACGAAGACAAGATCCCAACGCGCTGTTGGAAAGTACACAATCCGAATCTGCTTAGAGCCATTCAACTCAATTCATTCAAAATCAATCCCAAGTCATTCTTTCCATGATGATGTGGCCTAATCCCAACACAGTCCACTGCTTTTCGACATCCTCTTCATCCAACCTCGATGTAATTGTCCAGATCGTGAAGCCAAAGGCCCTTTCCCATCCAAATCCTACAACCTCCTACATCAACGAAACCCCCATGCAGCATTCTCCTCGCTACTGTCCAACCCATATACTGTGCAGTAAGACGCACCAGATGCCACGCTCAAGGACCTAGGTGCCACAAACCAAGCCTTCTTCTTTCCAAGCACGGCCCCTGATACGCCCTTTGCCGAACGTGTGTGCGCTATGACCACGACCAGGCTACCCAACCCTTCAGGCATACCATTTCCCACTCGTATGTCAGTGCAGGTGGAAAACTGTACGCGCAATGTTGCGCTGGCTTCATTGCGTCTGATTTTCCCGAGCATTGACCACGGCGACATGTTCCGTGGGGATTTTGTAGGTTACCTAGGAGCATATGATGTATCTGCGTATTTCAGTGAGGTTGGTAAAACAAGCGGTGGGACGGCCGCGTTGAGACGGATAAGCGTATGGCTGCTGCTCGCGTTTCAATGAGTATGAGCCAATTTAGGGGTGTGTTGCGCTGACCCGGCAGGATTCAGGATGTATGCCTCAAGTGGAGGTAGAGAAATGTATCAAGGTGGTGGTATGGAAGAGAGTTAAGAGTGCTTGGTTCTCACGCAAACCGTAATTGGGACGTGAACTTTGGCTAAGTGGTACACAGAGAACGGTCGTATTTTCCTGTAGTCCAACAGACAGATCCCGAAATACAAATGCATGATACCGAAATTGCTTGCTATCCCCCCGAAAACGAACCTTACATTCTGTCTTCGGCTTCTGTAAATGCATCGGTGGGTACCGATCACGATAACGCTACTCCTACCAGCAGTGGTTTTCCTCCATATCCGGAAGGGTTGAACCTGTAGCAAGTGAATTAGGGGGATCTCTGGCCGTCCACGAGACGGATGGAATTGATCGTCGGCCAAGCGTGAAACTCTCGGTCCCCACCTGCTCGCCACCCACCACCATCTTGCTCCGCAGCTGCCTGACGAAAGCAATGATTTCTTCGCTAGTATCCTCACTTACAATGTCCATATGAAGCTCGTGCAGTCTGGTGATTTTATATAGCCATTCCTTCCATGGTAAATAGGGCAATCGGTATCCAGGAGTGTCGTCTGTCCTTTCACGGATGTATAGGACTAGGACACGAACGGACATGTATCTGCTGATGTCATTGATGAGGTTCAACCAGGGTGGGCAAGTTAGATATAAGTGTATAGGTCGTTGGGGTTCGTTGCCGATGAGCAGGTGAAGCTCGTGTATGTGTCGTAAAGCGTGGTATGGTCGATCGTATAGAAAGCAAAGGCAGTTGTAGGCGGAGAGGTAAGTGTTATGAGGGATGGTGAAAGCAAAAGCATTTTTTGGTAGAATATCGCTCATGTCTCGGAGTAAACTTTGCGACTCGTGAGGAAGATGTTGACCAGAGGAGGATAGCCGTCTGGCTGGATAGCATACGACCACGAGATCTCGTCTTCCAGCACCTCGCCTGCAATAATCTTGACATTCCGAAGATCTTTGCGTCTCAAAACGTCTGCATTTCCGTATGATGTCCACCTGCTGCGCAAGGTTACAGATTTGGTGGGCTTGGGTTCTCCATAGTAAACCTGCACACGTTTGTTGTACCTAGGGTGCAGTGCTCCGAAAGGATGTGCGGTGGTGACGGTTCTGATAACGTCTCGTACGAGCGCATATTCATAGATCTTGATTCGTAACTCGGCCGGGAGCTTCATTAGGTCGAACATGACGGGAGGTAAGCGCACGCCGGTACTAGTATCACAGCTTGGTTTTGCGAGCGCTGCGAGGGTCTTTCCTCAATCGAACGTGGCGTTTGAAGTAGGTAGGACCTGTATGGAGGAGAAAAAGTGTACGGCTTTTTCCTCAACAAAGTCCGGCGTGGAAAGTAGGTAAAAAGGAGCTAGGGTTATTGGAATGTGGTGTGAAAGTTGTTGTTATTAAGAAGAAGAAGAACGGCTGTGGAGCCTACTAAGTAGTAGGTGGCTAGCCCTACAAGGCTGGGAGAATGTTCCAACAGGGCAGTGGTTGGGAGCTAGCCCTTAGAAAGACTGCCTTCAGCGCAGGTAGAGAGACTGCAAAGAGACGCTGTGACTGGTGCCCAACCCGTGAAGGACGGCGTTCGACGGGGTATGAGAGGCGCTCTCATTTCGAATGAACCTGTAGAAAGAAGAGAAAGCTCGTCTGTAACATTCAAATTAGCTGTCAGAATTAAACCGTTACTGAGAACGAGAGATTCACTTGTGGTCTTGAGGGCGTTGCAGTGTCACACTGTGACGGACTCGTTGGCGGCGTCCTTGCAATGGCGGTATCAAGGCAAGGATTGTTTCTGAGCTTGGAGTTGACAAGGGAAGTGCAGACGAGGGATACCGTCCTCGAGAAGAAACTCGTGGCCCATTAAGCGGCATGTGATGGCGATGTTATTCAGGAGAGAGTATCCACGTAGGGAAGATCATACTAAGACTACCCCTCAGTATTTGAGTGGCGAGGCAGTTCGTAGAATGAATTTGAATTGGCGCCGTTCTTACAGAGGAAAAGGGGAAGCCAATCCATATGTGCACATCGGAGCCGATATGTCCGCCCTCCTGATACTCACCGCCTGAGCTCCCCGCATGCCAGTATACCATTACTGTACGCATCTCAATCATTGGCATGGGGATCAAATGGTGTATAGCGTTCAATCGAGTATGTCTAAAGGCTGGAGCGACATGTATCTACCACGATCAATCTCATGTGTGGCCGGACCAAAGCCTACTTCAAGTTTTCAGTGGGCATCACAACTACATACTTTTCACCACCACGAGGTCAACTCGACGACTCTCTCCCTTGCGTTGCTGATATATTCCATCACATATCCGGTCAACTCGGCCGAATATCGCACTAGATCGCCATTTGTATCGTACTTCTCCAGAAGGGCATAGTTCGATAGCGCCACCCAGGCCAAACATCCCACCACTTTCTTCGTGTACAGAAACTCCTCAAGTCCCATCTTCTCAAAGCCTGACCCGTTTGCCAGCATCCTGGCTCGCAGATGGTTAATCAGCCCGAAACCTACATCAAGTCCTACATGGTACACTCTGTCGGCAGTCACGTTCACGTCCACTTCAGGCTTGCGTAGGTTGGTGATCTGGCAGATCTCCTACGCCCGGGGTTGAAGACCGCCGTTGCCGGTATTTATTGTCTTGAAGCCGGGGACTGTCCCGCTGACAGATAAAACCAGCTGGTGAAGGGATAGCTTTGTGGAAAGTTCGGCGCACAATTGACCCCACTGGGGCCAAAGGGGGTCGGCGATAAGCCCGCCATCTTCGTGGTACAGGGGCTCGCCGATCAATAGATGCATTCCGCGGATCTGTAGTAGAGCTTGCTGAGGTCGATCGTCGAGGTATGCCAGGCACATCGACGCTGCGGTGACTGTTGTTTCTGCGTTGGAGAAGTCGAAAATGTTTTGCTTGTAAAAGATCGGCTAGTACTCTGTATAGACTTGGCGGCTGGTATGGGATAGATTCAGGTTGGGAGCACCCTCGTTAGAGCATTGACGGTGGTAAGAGTTTGTGACGGATTCTTCGTGGACTCTTGCCCAGTCGATTCCCGTTCCCTTAATTGGGGGACTTCTGGTATCTTGCCAGGTAGAGCGAGAGATGTTTTCGCATTTTGAAGCTCAATGGCAGCGACGATGACCACATCTCGGACTAAAGCAGCTTCGTAGATTCCATCCCGCAGCTCCCAAGGGAGCTTGTTGATTTCGAACATGAATGAAGATGCGGACGAAAGTCAGAGATGGCCAGCAAATTCGGTACAACGAAGAACATTGGGATCTTTGCCTGTACCAGTGGGGTGGTTGAGGGGTTTGCTCAAGAGCGGGGTTCTAGCATATGCTCACTCGGATTTGAAGAGCCAATGGACTGTGGCGTATTTGTATTACACGAGAGTGCGTCTTCGGCTTATCGCCCATTTGGGCTACAGTCTTACGAATTTGTCCACCAATGGCCGAAAGGTCGACAGCAGCGGTGATTTGACCCGCATATGGGTCCCAAACCGTTTTCTTAGCAAGTAGAGCCTTGGGAAGAGCAGCCGTTGGATTAATTGACAGCTTCGAAGGATGTGGACAAGTTGGCCACAGCTGGAGCGGTGAAACCCTCTGAGTACCAAAGCTCGTATGGCAAACAAATGCTTGATTGCTGGAAAGTAGTCAGCGCAAGATATGAACATAGCGCGGATTTATGCGTACAGGTTAACGTGGCGCCCAGTCCTACAGCACAGACTTAGCAGGGGAGATCCAAGGTAGGTCCCACCCCGTGCCCTCAAGAATGAGTCTGAGAGTAAGCCGTACATAATGGCGCCATTGCTCGGGTAACAATATCTGTACATGGAAGGCCATACTAGAGCTGACTCTCAGCAGTGGCGAGGAAGACCTAGGAATGAAGAGGAAGTAGAGCCATTCGTGTGAGAATATCGAAGCCGAGGATTTCCATCCATAGAGATTGCCGCTCCTCACCCGGGTACTCGCCGCCTCGTCCTTTTCCCACGGATAGTAGCATCCGCTCTCGAGCCACCCTTGAGTCAATCCCCAATGGCTCTGATTGCGTCGTAGGTCGTCTACGAAAAATACTTGATGACAGCAAATGATACTCAAAATAGCAAGCCTCCGCTCTTGATTCAAGTCCGGGATATTTGATGGGTCAAAAAGCAAATTCAAAAAAAATCACATTTCGAAGATACTCTTCCGTGACTAGTGATTGCTCATTCTCGATGGTTGATGCCGACTTCGTGCCTTCTTATTCGGTATCATGGCGGCAGCAGCGTACTTCTGTGTCCTTCGATCAATCATCGCATGAGATTCATGCCATTGGCTTCCGCAGGGGTTCGGAGGAGAGAGGATAGTCTCTTGTTGTCACTTAAGTACCCATCTACTGTGAGGACTCTTTTGGTCAGATTATCACGAAAAGATGGACAGCCTAAGTGCGCTTCTTCGCTCTCGGATACCTTACTGACTCCAAGTGCCGGCTAAGCGCCAGCGTGGCTACTTCTGCCCATAAGTTCAGGCTTGGATCAGATATCTCCAATTTCTTTGTGCATCAGCATAATAGTGGAGAGTTTAGGGCAAGGGAATCATTCACTGTGGTCACTATAGCTGCAACATTGTAGCGTCGCTGGTGCGCTCTCAAGTCTCAGTCGCTACCACTTTTAGAAACGCCGCTAAAAGCAAGCCCTACTCTAATCTTAACCCTAATCTAGTTACTCGTACGTCACTGGTTTGAACGAGAAACAGGTTCAAACACGGTAGTGGGGATGCACCGTAGCCAATTGTCCTAGGGCTACGCTGTTGGTCAACTCACGCTCTTCGTCTACCTTTGCCTCAACTTCCCCTAAACATTGTGTCGTCAATCAAAATGTCAGTAAAGCGCACCAAGAGCAATATAAAGTGTCATAAGCTGACGACAACAGGGAGAAACACCCTCCAGCAAGGCAGCCAGAAGGCAAGGAGGAATCTCTGACCACATTACTCGATGAGGACCAGAGGGGGGAACTTACCCTCCTCATCGCCAGCGTTGCGGCTGCAATGCGCAAGACCATCATCTCCAGCTTTGACGCCTCCGTTGGCATCTCGAAAGATCTCGTCCAAGAACTCACTACATCCGAAGATGACAAGATCACGAACCCCAATGTTGATCCTGGTACGGTAGATGTCGCCAAAATGGATGCAGAGCGGAAGCTAAAGGAGCAGCGGGAGAAAGAGCTCAGTGCTCCAGCTATGAAGGAACTGAAGCAAGCATCGCTCAAGTTCTTCGACGAATGGCGAAGCAGCGTTATCATAAGAGTCGGCGAGGTTGTAAATTCCAGAGAAGAAGCCTCTTCCCAAATGAGATCCGCCAAGGCACCGGACTCAGCTATTCACGCTCCATCAGACGTCAAGGTCGACCCATCCAAGCCTACGGAATCAGACGAGTCCGCAGCTGCGTCACTATCGAAGTTCTACCCTCCAATTGATACCCCACTCGCATCGCTCGACGAAAAAACCAAGATCCTTATAATACATTCTATGTTACTGCTCATGCTATCTCTGGAACACTACATCGGCCCATCACGCGTTCTCCTCCTCTATATAACCTCGTCGCTAAAACTTCCGCTCAAGATCTTGACTGAAGATGAAGAGAAGATGGCAAAAGGCCTGCTTGAAGCCGCGAAACACATGTCTGGAGACGCTGAAGCAAAGAAGAAAGTGGAAGAGAACAAAGATTCAAGGAAATGGAAAGTGGGCCTGGCCACAGTCGCAGGAGCTGCTCTGATCGGCGTTACTGGTGGTCTAGCCGCACCATTGGTTGCGGCTGGTGTTGGGAGTGTTATGGGAGGTGTTGGCCTAGGTGCCACCGCTGCAGCAGGCTATCTTGGCACCGTGGCCGGAAGCACGGTGATTGTTGGTGGACTGTTTGGAGCCTACGGCGGACGAATGACAGGCCAGATGATGGACAACTACGCGCGGCAAGTTGAGGATTTTGCATTTTTGCCTGTGCGAAAGGATGGCAAAGATATCGAACAAGAAGATGAGAAAGAAGCCAAGAAGCTAGCCCAGAAGTCCAAACAAGTTGAGAAGTCGCTAGACACAGAGAGTGGTGTTCAAAATCCTCAAGACGGCCAAAGTGCGACGACACCAAAGACTCATCACTTCCCTCATCATTTCAAAAAGGAAAGCAAAGAAGACAAGGACGGCGTCGAGGATCCGGCCCAGCGCCGCCTCCGCGTCACCATTGGCATCACTGGCTGGTTGAACTCGAAGTCGGAGGTTGTCACTCCGTGGCGTGTGCTTGGTCATGGAAGCGAAGTCTTCGCTCTACGTTTCGAGCTCGAAGCGCTCATGAACCTTGGTAACAGTATGAGCGCAATGGTGTCATCCGCCGCTTGGGGCTATGCGAAGTCAGAAATGATCAAACGAACCGTATTCGCAGGATTGATGGATGCAATGTGGCCCCTTGCCCTTCTCAAAGTCTCACGAGTGGTCGACAATCCATTTTCTGTCGCTCGAAGTCGTGCCGATAAGGCCGGTGAAGTTCTCGCCGATGCTTTGATCAACAAGGCACAAGGCGAGAGACCAGTGACATTGATAGGCTACTCCCTCGGCGCAAGAGTCATTTACTCGTGTCTTATGAGTCTCGCCAAACGACGTGCCTTTGGCCTTATCGAGTCAGTTGTTTTGATTGGCGCTCCCGCACCCAGTACCACTGCAGATTGGCGCGTCATGCGCTCCGTTGTAGCCAGCAGGCTTGTCAATGTGTACAGCGAAAATGACTATGTTCTTGGCTTTTTGTATCGCACAAGCAGCATCCAATACGGCGTTGCTGGACTTCAGAAAGTCGAAGGCATTCCCACCGTTGAGAACGTCGATGTTAGCGAAAGTGTAAGCGGACATCTGCGCTACCGTTACCTCGTTGGTCACATTCTGAAGAAGATTGGGTTCGAAGACATTGAAATGTCCGCCGTCGCCAAAGAGGAAGCAGGTTTAAAGAAGATGGACGAAGAAGATGCGAAGAAAAAGTATGCCGACAAAGCTAAGGCGGAAGGCGAGAGGGTACTCAAGGACAATCCCCTTGGCGTCGGCAAAGATGGAGAGAAGAGCAAGGAACAGCAACAAGCAGAATCATCCGCTGCCGAAGCCGAAGCTGTTCAAATGGAGCTAGAAGTACAGCAGGAGACGCAGAAAGGGATGTTGAAATCTGCCTGGGGATACTTGCCGAAGAGGCTGAGAGGTGAGAAGTCGAGTGGTGATGCCGAGAGCAAGGCTGCTGCGAGTGCGGATACGGGTGTTTTGCCAGAAGTTCAAAAGGTGGAGAAGCCGCAACAGGGTGCTGGCGCATGGGCGTCTAATATTGCGGGAGGAGGGAAAGAAGGCTTGAGTAAAGCGTCTGGTTGGGCCAGTGGTCTGGCTGGAGGACTGATGGGTGGAGGAAGCAAGCCCAAGGAAGCTTAACGGTGAGTTGCCCGCTCACGGTTGAGTTAATGCGAGAGGGTAATGCGATAGGGGAATGTGTCATGTCTGATGATTAGAGGTATCTGGAATTCCATTTCTGATCTGTTATAGAGCCTGTGGTTGCAGCACCTTTTTACTTGCGTCTTCACCATCTTGGAACCCCAGGATCCAGACCCCAATCAGACATTTCCACTCTTTCAAGTCTCCCCATCATCATCATCATCATCTACCACTTGCCTCACAAACCCCTCGGGCGCCATTCATCCCGGCCCGCTCTCTTCGCTCATTCCACCATCTAATGCCCTTACCGCCGCTCCCTTGAGTCTCTATAGCATCCATCGCAATACCCCTCGTCATCCACAGTCCAACCCACCGCTTTCACATGACAGTATTTGCAGGCCATGCGTTTTACTCTCGTCCCGTTGGATTTCGTCCTATTCTTCCCCTCCTGTTTTCTCTCATCACGAGCCTGCACGCTCGGAGTGAACTGCACACCTTTCTTGAGGCAAGAGCGCGGTTTCGGCATTGCAGTGGTGGTCGAGTGATGAGGTTTCGTCGTCGCGGTCGGCCCATGCCTAGATTCCAGACGATGATGATGATCGTGCGTCGTCGTTTTGGATTGTTGTACAGCAGGTCTGGACTGATGATGATGGTGTGCCGTTGCTGTCGGCCCATGCCGATCTGTAGGTCCCGGATGGTCGGGAAAAGAGTTGGCTGCTACCCAGTTTGCCAGGCCGGGCTGGTCGTACGTGCTCATGCCGCCTTGGTGGACTGGGCGGGGGTCGATGTCAGACGTCGTTGGGGCGCTTTTTCCCGTATAGATCTGGGGCTGGGGTGGGGTATAGGGAGGGGGGGTAGAAGGTGGATGCGTTGAGCTCTTTCCCACGTAGATCTGAGGCTGGGGTGCAGGTGGGATAAAAGTGGGATTGGCAGACGGCGGGTGGCGATTCGCCGGGTTTGCGAAGTACACGCTGTAGGCCGGTGATCCTGGCGGCAGGTATGGTGGGCCCATGAAGGATGGCGTTTTTTTCAAGTAGATGTGGAGCTATGTGTTTACTATACGGAGGAGCTGATGTCATTCGCAGACGTTACGGAAGATGGATGTTGAAATGCGAGAGAAGACGGACGGAAGGGAAGAGAGGAGGGAACGCTTCTATACAGGTGGGTTAAAGGTGAGGTCTCATGCAGATCAATCTCTAACTCGACAAAGGAGGCCATGGTTTACAGGGCGGGAATTTAGGGAATATTCTGCTCTGTACGTGAACACTCTTTCCGGCTTGGGAAGATTGCAAAGCGGTGAATGACGGACGGCGAAAGAAGATGTTGTTTGTTCAATCACTAACAGCCAGCTAGCTGAGAGCCCAATTCATCATGGCCTGGGCATCTTTGTGACCTGGACGCCATTGCTAAATACAGACCAGGTGATCATCACAAGAAAACCGAACATCAAACCACCTTCTCTCACTCTCTCACACCGGCAACCTCCAACCCCGAAACCCTCGCCCTCGCCCTCGCCCTCACCCTCCCTTCCCACCCCCTCATTTCTTCCCAGCCCTCTTCCCCTCCCTAAATCGATAACAACTATCGCCCAACCTCCTCCCACCCTCCAACCACTTCTGGCGCCCGACGTGACAACTCTCACACATCAGCCGCTCCACCCTCCACGCCTCAGGCCTCCCTCCACACTTTGCTCTCGTGGTTCGTCCGCTGCTCGCCACCGGGATGCCAGTGCTTCGGCTCGCGTTCGCGGACCGAGGCGCTGGGCGCGAAACGGACGCCTTTTCCCTTGGACGAACGGGACGGGCGGGGTTTAGTGTACGCTTCGATGGCGCCGTGTGCCGTGCCTGGGATCGAGGAGGTGTGTGATGAGTCTGATGGGCGATGGATTCTGGTAGATTTTGAGGGATGTGGGATTGAGAGGTTGTGATGTGAAGATTGGTGTGAGGGTCTGGACGAATGCCCATTCGAGTCGTTGAAGATGCAGTCGTTGAATTGCTGCATCACCGGGTTCGTCATCTGGGCTGGCGGCATGGAAGGGAAAGATGAGGACGGGGATGGCCTGGTATGTGTGGAATGCCGATTTGATCTTGAATTGGATCCATGTGTCGATTTAGGGCCGTTGTAGGTCTTGCATTTCTGAAACCGTTTGACGGGATTTTCGTCGGGAGCCAGGATGTTCATGTTGTAGAGCTGGTCGAGGAACTTCTTGGGTAAAATGGGCTTAGACATGGTTGTCGAGGGTAGAAATCGTACTATCGGCAAGGATGTTTGGACAAATTCAAAAGGATGGGATTGAACAATAGCTCAAAGAGAGAAAGAAACAACGACAGGGAGAATTATTGATATGGCGGGGTGGCTAAACGCGTGAGAGGTCAGATATACAAGACGCCACCAGTACGCAACTCTGATGAACAGTCCCATCCGATAGCAAGTCACAACCAGTCATTTGTCGGCTGTTACCAGAGCTGGCGAATCAGATCATGTTAGCACAACATATCCTTACCACACCCACCGTCGTATATATCCCATCCCGTTCTTTGAACCAAGCATGCCGGACATCCACATACCTCCTCCTACCTACCTACTCTAGCCCCCAATTCACCAACACTCTCAACGTCCTCTGCTGCTTCCCCAGCGACCGCAGAATCAACGGACTCAGCACCAAAACCCCCTCGACACCCTTCCAGCCCTCAGCTTCCGGGCAGACCTGATCGAGAGCTTCAAGAATGTGGCGACTGGCGCCATGATGTCGCTTCGAGGTTCATCCTTTCGAATCTCGGCTACTGCAAATGCAACCAGTCGTCTGTGGATTTGATCCTGTTTGGGATGGGCGGGGTTGACGTCTAGCCCTGCTATGACTGGATTGTTTCCGCGTTTCTCGGTAGGCCATTTTTTATTTTGGGGGTCATCGGTCAATCATGCCGTAGCGATAAACATACCAAAACAATCTCTCTTCATCGCCGCCCTACGCTGCTTGTCCATGTTACCCACAACTATCTGTACACAGCCTTCCTTGATGAAATCCGGCAGTTTATGTGCAGGCGGGGGAGCATTAATCTTGCAATTCATTATCCATACACTCCCCAGGTCGGTCCCCAAATTATGCGATGCCGTACCATGGGCGATAAAAACGCGAGAATTGTTGTCCTCGAGCACGGACAGATAGTGGAAGTGTGCATACTGCTTGTAGGACGTGTCGCTGTGGGGCTGCCGAAGCAGGCAGCAAATGAAAGCGTTGGAGCGTGAAGTCGCGGTGCAGAGGCTTATCAGCCTGTTGAGGTCTTCGTCGTCGGTCGGGCTAGTTTTCGATACTCGGACTATTCGAACCGACACAGATGCTGGGGTGTTGGAGCTCATTTTGTTGGTTTCGCAAGATGTATGGCAGAATGGAGAGGGTGGAATGTTAAAATGGCTGGGGCCTGGGACTTACTGTATATAAAGGAGACCAGCGGAAACAGCGATAACTGCACGAAAAAGGGACGGGCTGCTTTCCGAAAACGCAATACCATGTGCGTAAAATCCATTGACGGTGTGAAAGATTTGGTGCCATCTGATGACCTGTGCGAAATACCTACCAATGCTGCGTTCTCTTAACCAAGCTCTAACGCTCGTCTTCGCCTCGATTGTCAGAAAAACAACTCGTTGGTCTCCAACAGCTTCCTTTCTCTTGTTACTAGGAAGTGATCACCTTCCTCCCTCAGCGCTGGCATCGCTATGCAAGTCTTGAAGAACTCTCCAAAGCCTATCAGCAGTTGCGCCTTCTCCTCCTCATACAGACCAATGTCCATCACAACCTCCCTCCTCGTTGAGCCTCTAATGACATAATACTGATCACCGTGGCGGACCCAGATTCTGGTCAAGCTGTCTCTCAGCTCTTGCGTAGCGAACCGGCGAATGTTGGGGCTCGATGCCTCCGCGAGTGGCCTCTCATTTATGTCGATGTTTGCCATATTTGCATCACAGTCGCTGCGGAGCACAGCAGAAAAGTTCACAGCGAAAGATTTGAAGAACTCAATGTTGTCAACTGCAGACAGAGCTGGTCCTGGCAGACGGACAATATAGTCTAGGACCGGTAGAAGTGAGGAGATGGCTAAGTAGCATGCTGACATAATCCTCAATGTCCTACCGTCTCTTGGTTTTGATTCGCAAGAATCCGCTATGAGTATTTCGAACGATCGTCGCGTCGAATCGAGGAAAGCAGTGATCATGCTTGCAATGGCGGCGACACTACCCGGGTTGGTGCCATCAAGATCCTTAAGTAGCTCTTCAAAGACTGCTTGCAGAGCTTGCAGATAGGGCATTGCTAGGACCCAGCCACATGCCGTGCTGAAAGCCATCTCGACATATGCCGGAATGATGTTCTTGACGAGGAAAGAGCGCAACGTCGGTATAGATGATACACCGTCCTCGAAAGCACTGGACATTGCCGTGTGCAGCTGGCCAACGAGGTATGGCTGTTGGCCATCGATAGCAGCTCGCTCGGATACAGATTGGAGGAAGACTGCGAGCTGCTTGGGCGTCCTAGCGTCTTGCAGTCGTAGGCCGTAATTCTTGAGCTGGCCGACGACGTATGTCGGATCCGTGGCGGGTAGCGGGAAGGCACCGTTGTCGGTGAAGAAGCGATCTATGGGACAAATTGTCGAAGTGTGCTGCTGCAAGAACTCGACGACACGATGCACGAAGTCGACATAACCTCCTCTGGCGTTTGATCCGTGGCCAAGCTCTTGATAATTACGCTTCATCGTCGCCATGAGGTGCTTGAGTAAATCCTTGAATTCTTGCCGAAGCTCATTGCCGTTCATAAAGGGTTCGAATACGGCACTTTCCAAAGAAACCCGCATATTCGACAGGACGCTGGAGATCAATGATAGCCTGCGATCAGAGAAATCTGATGCCGCGACTTGATATGTTCCATTGGCTGCATCCTTCCAAAATGGTAGATTTTGTAGTAAAGAATTCTCAGAATCTGTGTTCAGCAAGGCACTTATAAGTCGATGTTGAAATTTGAGCAGTGACTCGCGCTCAACCAGCGAACAGACCCAAGACATCAAAAAGAACGCTTTGTGGTCATGGTAAGTTTTGTTGTCCATCTCAATTAACCTAGCCAGATAGTAGGCAAAGAATTTCCTAGTCTGCTCCGTGTCTCGCAATGAACTCCAAGAGTCGTGTCCAAATTGACCAAGGTAATCAGTCCAAGATCTTAGCCCACCTCGAACCAGTCCTTGGGCAACGATAACCCAAACGTCAACCACCTTCAATAGCAGAGCATCATCGGGCACCTGGTCTGCTCCAAAGCAATTCGAGAGAAGATGCCTCAAAGGGTCGTGGAACGTAACAAACGGCGAGACCGTGTCTTCTTGTCGTGGTATGGCTGCGGAATCGTCGTCAAAAGCTGACCAGTCTCCATAATCTTGGCTTTCTTCGTTCTTATCGCAAGACTCTGACGACTTGCTTGCACATGCAGTGAGAACGTCTAATGCTTGTATAATTGGCTTATTAGCTTGAGTTCTGCTCGCGTCAAACAATTCGAAAACTTTGGCCAACGTCGTAGACAACAAGGTTGAAGCGGCTTGAGAATTCAGAGCGGCGTCGATAGCGAGCTTAAGGCACACCAAAGCGTCACTCAGTATTGCTTCGACCTGGCGCTGGTTCCTAGCTATGGTTGTTTCAAGCAATTCTTTGGACACAATAAGGCCACCGACGGACTGCGCTGATCTGACTTGGTCCTCCGCTTCCGTGCGAGCAAGACTATGCTGTCGAAGAATTTGCGCCAAAATATGATTGTGCCACTCAGCGAACGGCTCTAGGTTAGTGATAGGCTCATCAGTCGATAATTGGAATTTGACGAGGTGGAACCAGGCCCGGATGTTGATATGGCAGGCCTCTCGATGCGAGATTTCCAGGTTGACCAGGTTGCGAATGACGGTCAACGGCGGTCTGCAGCTGGGCGGAGAAGCCCAGTATAAAGTACAGAGCAGATCATGGTGATTTCGCAATGCGTCTAAATGCTCTTGACGAACGGCTTCTTCTTTCGGGTGGGAGCGGCCATGATTTGGCATCAAGCGCCATACTACGTCTCGAATCTTCTTCTCGGAGTATGACTGTCGCATGTGCTTGACGCCGCTTCCTATAATCTTTAGCAGGATATGGAAGCCCCTATCTTCGGCCTCAGAGATCAGAGTAGGGTTCTCGCCTAGTCGTTCCAGAAAGAGCGGTGAGCCCTTGCTTTCTTCGCTCCTCAGATGAGCTAGACTGTTACGAGCGAAATAGTCGAAAAGTGTTCCAATGATGGATTCGCATCTTCGCCAGCCCCAGCCATTGATCAAGTGGAGGCAACGCCCAAAGATGGCTCGGCAGTAAGAGTTGAAGCTAGGAGGTTGCCGTTGTGGGTTACTTAGCGAAGCTTCCAACACAGGGTTTATGAGGCGCTTAGCAAGCGTCCAATTGTCAAATGGAACCCTGAACCGACGCCCAGTCTCTACAACTCCTTGTGCGTCCATTTCGAGGAAAGGTAGCAAGGTAAAGAGCTGTTTCCAGGATTTCTCAGCCAAAGCGACATCGAAAATACCATGCGAGGATCTGGTTGGGACAGCTTTCAGCAAAGTCAGCCAGACGCTCGTCTTAGAGTCTGGGTCTTGGCCAAGCACATGTTGGGCAACAACGAATGCTTCGATGGAATAGTCCTGGATGCGATAGTCTGCATTCTGATTCCTAAGGTTTGATAGACAAGTCTCGAACGGCTCAAGCCCCTTTCCCAGCGACAAGTCGAGAGTGTGAAGGGCTGCTTTTTGAACTAGGGATCCAACTTCATCCTGCAATCTTGACGGTATGAGCTCATGCTTAGAGATCTGTCTCAATTGGTTGGCAACTGATAGGTTAAGTGTGCTGATTTGGATGTCCTTTTGTAACTTGTCTGAAATTTGATGGTTGGTTGTTCTGCTGACTGCACTATGATCGATGAGCTCAGCAGTCAAGGTAAGAAGAAGGCTCTTGCATCTCAGGACGTATGCAACTCTGTCCACTGGGTCAAGGAAGCTCAAATGATTCGAGAAGTATTCAAGAATGCTGTTTTGCAAGAGCAAGACTTGCTCGTACCTAAGGAAATTCGGTACTCCTAGGCTCTGGCCCGCGGCATTTTGTAACGACTGGTTAATTGCCTCGAAAACTTCACCCAGCTCCGAAGAGACAGCGTCATTCCATGGGCCCCATCTCAGGCTCCTACCATTGAAATTCGCAAGGGCGTATCCTCTGGAGCTTTCGAGATTGGCGGTAATCGCATGTTTGAGAGCCTTAGCAAAGGCACCATTGCCTAGTAAAGTGTTTGCACTAAAGCAAGTTCCCGTAGGTAGAGGAGTGACACCAAAAGTGTCACTATACCGGGTTCCAAACGGTCCCAGGCCAACAAGCATGTCCCTTTTCTGTACTTCAGAGGAATCCACAGCTTGACCTGGATAATCATACGAGATAACAAGAGCACTGGGCTCTCTGGACCACGTTTCGGGAATATCCACGTGTTGTGGCTGTCTTTTTCTCCGCTTGCGGGGAAGGATCCTCTTGGTGGTGGTAGCATTGGCATCCTGACCCACTATCACACGATCTGCCTGTAGAGCAGCAGTATTGGATGGCCGCATGCCGTCCTCTCCAAGAAACCTCCGTACTACAACACCAGGAAGTCCTGAATCATCCTCAAAGTGATTGACTCTGGCTAGATCTCGCTGAAACATAGCCTGTGCATGTGTCCCATCTGTGTCTGCCCGAGTAGACTCTAGCATTGCTGGCCTTGAATCCTTGATAGCTCGCAACGAAGAGACTATTTGCCCTCGCTTTTTTGGCTTCTCGATAGATTGCTGAAGCCATGAGGGCGCTTTCTGTTGGCTAGTCTGAGGTTCGTCTCTACATCGACGCTCGATGAGATGATCTAGGGAGGTCTGAAGCTTTCGAGACTTTGTGAGACGAAGATGCGATTTCGCGGATGTCTTTCGAGAGGCCGACAATTTGAACTCTTGGAAGCTGCGTGTCGTTTTGGACGCCAACGAGGGCACGGGGCTATTCGTTGAACGCGGGCACAAAGGCTGGCGAGTTGATGCTTCATTGATCTTGTCGTTATCCAAAGGTACAATGGTTCCTTCCCGCCAATTTTGTAGGGTCTCATTGGCATCGTTATCATCATCCCTTGTTGCCAAGCGGACAAACTTTCGAGACGGACTGTGTCTTCCTTGATCACGGCGTGAGCGTGCTGTGCGAGTTGCGACTTTGAGAAATTGGGGCACAGAGTCCTGAGGTAGTCCCTTCGTTAATGGTGCGTCAAGTATACCAAGTCTCGGCGGGCGATATTTGGGTTTCTCCCTGTGACTTTC